CCATTTCCTTTCTCTTCTCATACTGTCAGTTTTGACTTGAACATCTTTGAGTGTTATCATCCTTATTGCAAAATTGAAATGTCTGTGAGAAAAATACTCTCAAGACTTCTAGTTCTCCCCCCCCCCCCGCCATCCATTTTTTATTGTTTTGGAGAAAAAAGGTAGTAGTGGTAGACTACTTTTCTTTCGTCCTAAAAAGGGATGAAGTTGGGGCTGAGGTTGTGGCTCGATGGTAGCGTGCTCACCTAGCACACAGGAGGCACTGGGTTCGATCCTCAGCACCACATAGAAATGACATAAAGATTGTGTTCACCTACAACTAAAAAAAATATATATTAAAAAAAAAAAAAGGAGTGAAGTGGTGGCCAGCAGAGACCTCAAGTTATTTTGTTCTGAATCAGAATACAGGTAACCCAAAGCCCTCCAGATCTGTACTGAGGAAAATTTAAGTTCTATCAAGTACTCTATCAAATATCTCTTTTTAAAAAATGTAAGTTTATCACACAAAGTAATTTTCAACAAACACTGAACTTTGTGTTGTATAAGGTCTTGATTACCATGTTTTTGAGAACTAAATTTCTTCAAATGCACTGCTTCATCATTCGTTGTTAGATTACACACACACACTTGAAGAGCCAATTTGCTTTTCCCTCTTGCATGAGAGTAAAAGGAACTGGGTTAATCTCCCAACATAAAATCAACTCAAACCTGGGCAGGACATGAGACAACAAGAGTTCAGCTTTGTGGCAGTGGTCTCTGAGGGAGTGGGACAAATGAGTGGACACTAGTAGCCCAGCTTATGTCTGCAGTTTCCAGGCCACTCAGCACAGGGAGGAGGAGCTACACATATTCCGGTGACTCCTTGTATTCAAAGATTAGGCCTTGGGGGAGCTAGCAGCTAGAGTTCTCAGGCAGGGTGCAGGACTGCACAGATCTGCAGAGGTTCTCCCAAGTCTTCAGCTCCAGGTATGCCTGTGAACACACTCCTAGAGGCTACGGAGAGATCCACCAAGACACAGGCAGAGTCCCTGGAGCTCCTTATTGCCCAGGTTCCCACAGCCTTAGTGGACTCACTGCCCCTGTGTCTTCAGGCATTTCATCTGCAGTGGGCAAAATCAGCCCTAAAGACCGCTCTGGTCTCAGCTAAGGAAGCTTAAAAACATTGAAGCCTTTTTATTTATTTATTTGGTACTGGGGGTTGAAAACAAGGGGTGTTTAACCACTGAGCCACATCCCCAGCTCTTTTTTGAGACAGAGTCTAAACTACTTAAGTTGCTGAGGCTGGCCTTGAGCTTGTGACCCTCCTGCCTCAGCCTCCTGAGTCACYGGCATTACAGGCATACATCAGCACATTGAAGCCATTTATATGAAGGAAGATATTAGATGGAAATCTAGTATAAAGATCTCCAGGTATGACCAAAAGGGTGCTAGATGTTCTTATAAATCTCTTTGGAATTGCTTATAGCAAGAGGAGTACTATATTGTGGTGTTCATGTTTTTGTGAAAGGTATGACAAACATGGCACAAAGGCCAAGTGATGGGCAAGGGCGTGCTGTTGAAAATCTCTCACACTGTGAAGTGACATATTTATGAAAGCATGATAAATCTAAAGACTAGAAACTTTATTACTTGTTTGTGGTACTGGAGATTGAACCCAGGAGTGCTTCACCACTGAGTTACATCCCAAAATCTTTTTTTTTTTTTTTGAGGGGGYGTGTTGCTATGGATTGAACTCAGGGGCACTTGACCACTGAGCCACATCCCCAGCCCTATTTTGTATTTTATTTAGAGACAAGGTCTCATTGAGTTACTTAGCACCTCACTTTTGCTGAGGCTGGCTTTGAACTTGCCATCCTCCTGCCTCAGCCTCCCAAAACGTTGGGATTACACACGGGCACCACTGTGCCTGGCTCAAACCTTTTAATTTTGAGACAGTGTCTCACTAAGTTCCCTAGGCTGACCTCAAACTTGCCATCCTCCTACGTCAACCTCCCCAGCTGCTGGGATTACAGGCAGTGCCACGGCACATGATGCTAGAAAACTTTAAAGGAAACCCAAAATGTAGAGGTAGGATTAGTAAGGAGAGGAAATCTAAAGCAAAGGAGAGGAAATATAAAATTAACCACCCCCAAATTAACTAACCCCACACAAATATGTCCCACTGGCTTTCTTTTTTTAAAACATAAGAGCAAAACTAATTCAATGGAGGAAGTAGAGTCTTCAAATATGGTGCTGGAGCAACCAGAATCTATAGGCGAATGCCCACCCCAGAATCTTTATGTAACCCCACATTTTATACAAGAATTAGCTCTAAATGGATCAGTTTAAATGTAAAGCGTAAGACTAGAAAAATCTGAAAATATTACGAGAAAATCTTTGCACTTAGTGGAGTATCCTTGAATAGGATACTGGAAACATTATCCACCCGAAAACAACAGAGTAAACTGGGACTCACTGAAATTACAACTCTTGCTCTGCAAGACCCATGGAAAGGATGAAAAGACAAGCTGGGAGAAAACACCTGCAAAACGCTAGTGCAACCAAGGCTTTGGATCCAGAATGTAATCAAGACTTGGCAGTAAGAAGTCAAATAGAAAGTGAGCCACATCCAGAAGAGCTACTTGGGAGCCTGAGGCAGGAGGATCACAAATTCCAGGTAAGCAACTCTCAAAAAGGGCTGAGGATATAGCTCAGTGGTTGAGCACCCCTGGATTCAATCCTCAGTACCACAAAATCTCATGAACAGATATTTCACTGAGTATTTATAAATGGCAGATAAACACATGAAAGGATATTTACTTTTAACCGTTGGAGAAATGCAAATTAAAACCATGAATATCACTACTTATCAAAATGGTTAAAATAAAACATAGTAACACCACTAAATGCTGGTCAGAACGCAGAAAACATGGCCCACCCACACACTGCAAGTGGGAATATAAAAGGGTATGACTACTCTGAAAAGTTTGGTGGTCTTATAAAACTCAGCAATTGCACTGTTGAAAACTTGTCCCAGGGAAATGAAAACCAACAACTATACAAAAACCTGTACTTGATTGTTTAGGGCAGCTTTCCTGTTAGTGCCTCAAACCAGATATGACTAATATATCCTTTGAGGTTGATGGTTAAACTGGTATATCCCCACTGTGGAGTACTATGCAGCAATAATAAAAGGAATTAACTATGAAAACATGCGACAACTTGGGTGGATCTCAAGGGAATCCTTGTGGATAAAAAGGGCCAATCTAACTGTGTTATCCAAGTTACAATATTCTTGAAATAAAATTATAGAGATGGAGAACAGATTAAGAGAGAGGATAGGGAGGGCCAAAGAGAAATAAGCATGACAGAGATTTGTGGTAATGGAACAGTTCGGTATCTCAATTATAGTGTTTACACCAATCTACACAGATGATAAACTTAGATAGGACTATTCACACAATGCAAATGAATGCATAATAAAACTGGTGAAATCTGAATCTGCTCTGTGGACTGTCCCAATGTTGTTTTCTTAGCTGTGAATCTACAATTTAAAAATTAAAAGCCAACAATTTTTTTCAAAAATACTTTTTATTTTTTTTAGTCTGCTAAAAAATAGACTTGTACAACAGATCTCAGCTAGGGAGTGTGAGGTAGAGACTGGAATGGGGGTAAGTTTATACTTGAGATTCTACTATGGTAAGGCAAGGTATCAACCAACAGATCCAAGATGTTTTTCCTTATTCTTTTCAGGTCCCTGAAGCAGAGCCAGGATATATCTTGAAAGGTGTTTTTTTTTGTTTTTTTTTTTTTTTTAGTTTAGTTCTAGCTCCCTTATGTCAAATACCTAAAACAAGACTTAGTTAAGAACTATCGTAGAGAAGCTCTTTTACCATCAAAATATCTTACACAAGTACATGCAAGGTTATCTACTGCCAACACTGTAAGAGTCAAAACATGGAACCACCCATCAACAGGAGACAGTACAGCCATACAAAAAAAACAAACAAACAACAAAAAAAAACCCTGTACAAAACTGATAGGAAAGGGGCTGGATTATAGCTTAGTGGTAGAGCACTTGCCTACATGTGTGAAGCACTGAATTTGATTCTTAGCACCACATATAAATAAATAAAAAGTGAAGGTCCATCGACAACTAGAAAAAACTGATGGGGGGCTGGGGATGTGGCTCAAGCGGTAGCGCACTTGCCTGGCATGTGCGCGGCGCTGGGTTCGATCCTTAGCACCACATAAAAATAAAAAAATAAAGATGTTGTGTCCACCAAAAACTAAATATTAAAAAAAATTCTCTCATATGAAAAAAAGAATATAAATTATCAATAAATTTTAATATTCTTTACATGTTATAATGACATTTTGGCTATATATTTCATTAAGGTCATAAAAACTAATTTCTAAGATACTCCAACCACCTGTTTGTTCATCAACCGAGGAGCAGATACGTGGAGCACATGACACAGTATCATTCAGCCTTCGAGGAGGAAGGCAAGCCCCGTCTACAACACAGCTGAACCTTGAAGCCAGGGGCCAAGTGAAGTCAGCCAGACACAGGAGGACAAATACTGCATGGTCAACAGTCCAAATGAGAGAAGCAGAGAGTGGAATGGTGGTTGCCAGGGGCTGGAGAAGGAACCCAGGGCGTGAAGTTTCAGTCATGCAAATGAGTAAGTTCTGGGGATGTGCCACTCACTGAAGTCCCTGTAGCTGACAATCCTATACTGTACACATGAAAACTGGCCAAGAGGCATACTTTTTGAGTTCAGTGTTCTTAATATATACAAAAAAGCAAAAATCACAGGAGGACAGACCTTTTGGAAGTGATGCATATTTATTTGCCTCGACTRTGGATGCAACACAGGTTGTGTACAAATTCAAACCCATCAGCTGCATATGTTCCACGCATGTATTTTTAAAATTTTTATATTTTAGTTGATAGACCTTTGTTTTATATATTTACACGCAGTGCTGGGTCGAACCCAGTACCTCACACATGCCAGGCAAGTGCGCTACTGCTAAGCCCCAGCCCCAGCACCGCCACCCTCCCCCGCTTTTTAAATTTATTTTTTTGTTGATAGACAACACATGTAGTTTTTTGCACATCAATTAATTATACTTTGATACTTCAATAAAGTTGCTTTTACTTCATGTGGCTCTAAGAATAAAAAAAAAAATCATATAATTGGCCTGTGTTACATTTGTATCCCTTTCCCCTGACAGCTTCATTACCAGTACATCATTTTTAAATAATACATGTGGAATTTTTAAACAAATATACTAAAAGTCAACTTCAGGAATTATATCAGAGACTTGGGAACCTTAAATTCTTGTTCCTGTTCTTGGTTTAAAGTATTAACACTCTTGAGAAAACCTGGTAACACCCTTCACTGAACTAAACATTCTGTTTTCATCTGATGACCCTCCTGTCCTAAAGAAAACAGCCTGTTACACGACATCCAGCTTCACTTTGATGTTCATAGCTGCCAGTTCAGCTACAAAATACCGAAAGACGTAAGGCACAGATACAGTATCAATGGTGTCACTGCGGTTACAGAGAGCACAGTTGTATTTTCTGTTGCGCAAGGCGGACCAGGAAGGGGGTGGCTTCTCCAATAGAGGAGAAAGTAAACTGCCACACTTGACACACACGTGGGCCACCGAGCGGTCAGAACAGTTGAAGAGGCGGTCATGGAGGAGAAAAGATGTGCCGTGGGCCAAGAGAGCATCCCGCTCCATCTCCCCAAAACGGATTCCGCCCTGCACGTTTCTTCCCCCAATAGGCTGGTTGGTGACTTTGTCCCTGGCTCCAGTCGTTCTAACTTGAAATTTGTCAGACACCATGTGACGTAAGCGCTGATAATAAACCACGCCTATGAAAATGTCTGCCTCCAGTTCTACCCCACTGATGCCACTATACAATCTCTCAGTGCCATAGAAGTTGTAGCCCGCAGCCTTTAACATCTCGCCGAAGTACTCCAAAGCAGAGTTCTCCTCGGAAAAAGTGAAGGGTGTCGCATCGTGGCAGAGGCCATGCAAAGCGGCAGATTTCCCAGCCATACTCTCAATTAACATGCCGATGGTCATGCGGGATGGAAAGCCGTGAGGGTTGAACAGAATGTCCGGCACCATCCCACTCTCAGTAAAAGGCATGTCTTCAGCTGGCCACAACCGGCTCAAAATGCCCTTCTGCCCGTGACGACTGGCGAACTTATCTCCGATTGTTGGGTTCCGAGGGACACGCATTGTGACGCAAACACACTTGAATTTCCCATTCCCAGTGTCATTGCTGCACACTTTGATGTTATCCACGATGCAATTTTCTTTACTCCTAGGAAATGTCAATCACAGAAGTCAAGCTTTTGTTAGCTTATGGAGAAGTTGTACTGGCATACTTAGTGTTTCATAAAGAGCATTTGTAAAATGAGTTGGTATCCCTAAAAGTGCTTTAGGGCTATTATTATGTTCATCTGCACCAATACCATCAATAAAGACAAGGAAAAGCCATCACGAAGGCCTATTAAAACCAAATCTGTTGTAAAAGAAACTAAAATAAAAATTTTGTTTTAAAAAGAGGCTTAGTGAACTCAATATTTTGGCTGTAAACATCATGTAGGAGATGACAAAATTCAGTGACAGTTTTAACATAAATCACAGACAACTCAAACTGTGGGACTGTTAACAAAGAAAGTAGAAAAGTAAGGGCAGCAAGACATTAGGCCCTTGTCTCAGCAGGCAGTGCCAGCTCAGGCTCGACCGAGACCAGAACTGCTGTGGTGTGGATGCCTGTGTCCCTCCAAGTCCACACTGAAATCCAGATTTTACTGCAGTGTGCTGAGAGGAGGGGCCCTGGGGGTGATGGGGACTGGAGGGTGGAGAAGCCAGCTGCTCCTGTTTGCCCTTCACCTCCTACCCTGAGGACACCCAGACACACCATCTGYGGGGATCAAGTCCTCAGCGGACACCCGATCACCTGCCAGTGCCTTAAGGATTTTGGACTTCCCAGCCTCTGTAACTGTGAGAAATAAATTATTTTTCATTGCTCAGCCTCAGAAATCTTATTACAAAGGCACACTCCTATCTTCTCCAAAACCTCCCGTTACAAGACAACTCTCAACGATAGCCAGTAATGCCACTGAGAAATTGCCTCTGGAGAACAGCAGAGACCACACACTTACTTATAGAACACCACAAAGCTCTCCCCGGTGTTGAGGTTGAGGTAGCCGTAATATGGGTCTCCATACTTCAGTGCTGCCCCTATGAAGGGCAGTCCATCGCCATCCAACTTCTGTAGAGTCCGGGGGTCACCAGGTTTGACCCCAAACACCAGACTATCATCTCCCTGTTTAATCCTTTCAGACAGGTCTATGAACTCCGACTTGTAGACACTTCCATGGGCAAAGCCTCGCTCCCAAGAAGCCTTATTTAGAATCTGTGAGGACAAAAATTTGTTAACTGAGTCCAACGGAGGATTTTGAAAATAAAACCAGTTAGGATCATATTAATACTTACAATAATTGAATTTAAAACTCTTCCCATATTTTACAAATCATTAATACTATTAAAACCCAGCTAGTGCTTAAATATAAAAGGTAACTACAGAGACTACTCACTCAACATTCATTAGTACTGTGTGCTCAATGTGGAAGACAGATGCACACCTGAATACTGTGTGAATATATCTCAAGGCCCACTTTCAACTTAGACGAGGAACAAACAATTTAACAGAATAAGAAAGTTTAAAAAAGACTGGAACGACATCTCCTGGTAAAACTTACCATGGCATCTTCCATGTCATAGCCAGTGTATGAAATCACAGCAACAATGGCATTTGTCCCTATTGGGTAGTTATCCATGTCATAATAATCATACATGCATGGTCTTACAAGAGGACTCTGTGGAGTCTGAAGACGGTACAGTTTATTATCTGATCGGTCTTGGTAAGTGAGAAGGGGAAAGCCCATAGTCTGCTTACCTATAGAAGAAAAAACAATTCTTTGCATTTGTTTTTCAGCCCTCAATTGTAAAGTTGTTATATAAAACTGAAATGATTAAATATTCATCAGAGATGAATGAACAAATAAATCACCGTGGTTTTAATTACTACATAGTAATATTAGCTGTGAAAATGAAGTAGCTCTAASTATCAACATGACCAGATTATGAGAACAACTGGGTGAGAAGCAGAGTGAGGTGTCTTATGGTTAGACATGAGAAGGTGTCCCCTGACCACTCACGTGTGAGACGGTGCAAGAAGTTCGGAGGAGAAATGGCTGGCTGTGGCTGGAGGAGTGRATCATGGGGGCATGCCTTTGGGGTTATTTTCCTGAGCAAGCAAGGGCTCTGAGTCCTGGTGGCCAAGTCCTAAGCTGTTTTCCTTCATTACACTCTTCTATCATGATGTTCTACCTCTGAAATTTTGAGCCCCAAATACACTTTTTCTCCTCTAAAATTGCTCTCATTGGGTCTTTTGGTCACAGCAATGCAAAGCTGACTAAAACAGGTGTGATGATGATACTATTGGTATACATTTGGAGCACACCCCAAACAATTCTATATGTTCATGGACCCATGTAAGAAAAGTATAAAAAGGGGATATAAAAGGCTACACACAAACTACAGGACATTACTACTGGGGGAATGTAGGGAGAAGATGGAGAGCAGCTGTTACTGAATTATAGTACTTTCTTATACACAGAAGAAAATGTCAACATGTATAAATTCTGAGTAGTAGGACATTATAGGCAAGACTTATCGTACTACTTTAAAGTACAGGGAGCATTTCAGAACAAAATGGTTTTAAAGACTAAACTATTTATACACATAAGGAATTTTTATTTTTTTCATATAGAAGATTTACAGCTTTTAGTAACACAGGGCAACTCCCTAGGGGAAAAAACAACTATATACATAGAAACCACCAGCCAAAGCACTAGAGAGTAACCAAAAACCATCAAACTGAGTTCCTAGTTTTTTCAATTTTAATTTTTTTCCCCTCATGTCCAAACAGTGTAGTACTTACAACCTAGATTGAAATTCACAGCCTCACTGTATCAAGAGCCCAAGAATAAAGTTGGGGATGTAGTTCAGTGGCACAGCATCTGCCTAACATGCACCAGGGCCCTGGGTTCARTCCCCAGCACCACAAAAAAGCAAAGAAACAAAAAAAAGAACCAAGGAATAGAGCTCAGATCATGACAGTGACTAGAAAGTGAGGGGCTTATTTCAGAAAGGCAAGAACTACAGAGGGATAGCCTTAAATTCTGCACATAAACTGAGGCCACACTTCAGTGAATATCTGAGGTCTGCATCCAAGGGACAGGACCAGATTGCACACCAGTGACTAAAAGTGAAGGTCTCTACCAATTAGAACTAAAAGCTGATCCTATCCAGGAAGTTACAAGAGAACCCAGAATGTCCACGATGCAATTCATGACTAGYAGACAAGGAAACATCGAAACATGACCTATTCGCCACAAAGAGCAGGAGCTGTCGTGACATGGTCCAGAGGCTGGGATCAGATAGTGACTCAACAGCACCTCGCATGATCCATGCTCAGAACCTTAAAGGAAAATGTGTCCACAATGAGCAAAGCAACCTCAGAAAACTGAAACTATTAAAAAGAAACAAATGTAAGCTTTAGACCAAAAAATACCTGAAATAAAAATTCATTAGATGACAGAAGAAGTCAATGTAATGATCTATTAAAAAAAAAAATCAAATCTGACAAGAAAGAAAAAAAAAAGAGAGAGAGAGAGAAAAGAAACTCAATGGCTCAAGGGACAATACAAAAGGTTTGACATAAGTAATGCACAACTGAATCTTAGAAGTAAAAGGAGAGAGGCGGAAGCAAGAGCTTTAGGAACAACAGTGGAAAACTTCCAAGTGGGTGAGTTTACTTTTTCTTACAGATTTAAGAAGATCAGAAACTCTAACCAGGACAATCGTATCATAGTCAATCTCCTAAAAACCAGAAAAATAAGAATCCTTAAGGTCRGAGGAAAAAAACACATCATATTCAGGGAAATAAAAATAAATATAAGCACTGCCTTCCAATTAGAAGAGACAGCAAGAACAGGTAGCTTAGAACTGTAACGTGCTGAAATAAAAGTAACTGTCAACTCAGAATTACATATCCAGTGGAAATTTCTTTCAGAAATACTTGKTTTTTTTTTTTTTTTTTTTGGTGTGTGTGTGTGGTGCTGGGGACTGAACCCAGGGCCTTGTGACTGTGAGGCAAGCACTCTACCAACTGAGCTGCATCCCCAGCCCGAAAATAATTTTCAGATGAATGAAACTAAGAACATGACCCCTTCAGGCAGAAATGAAGTGCGCTGGCAGTGCTAATTATGTGAGTGACAGTGATGGCCATCCAGGTCTCCTTCAAAAACTGACTCAAAGGGGCTGAGGGTGAGGCTCTGTGGTAGGTAGAGCACTCGCCTAGCATATGTGAGGCCCTGGGTTCGATTCTGAGTACTGCATATAAATAAATGAATAAAAATAAAGGTCCATCAACACTTAAAATAAAAAAGAATTGAATCAAAGGTCTTGGACAAATCCAAATCAATGGATAGTATACAAAACAAATCACCCTTTTCTTTGAAAATATCAGYGTCAAGAAAGACAAAGAATGGCTAAGAGCTATTCTAAACTAAAGGAGACTGAATAGACATGACAACTCAACACAGAATGTGATCTTGGGCTGAGTGCCTGCTGCACAGAAAAATCTGTCGTACACGGATGCCCAGTTGAAATCTGAGTAAGAACAGCATCACCGTTAACTCCCTGGGTCTGCTAACTAGCCTGGGCTGCATGGTGAAGGGCCTAGCTTGGAAGATGTGCTGCGATGTTCAGGGGTAAACAATGTCTGCAACATATTCGCAGGGGAAAAACGGGGCAATGGGAACTGTCAACAGAAAAGATGATGGTTTCTGGGAGCTCCTGTCCTATTCTTGCAAATTTTCTCCAAGTCTAAAAAGTACTTCAAAATAAAAAGAGCTATGCACATTCTTCTTGCCCAACTGTACCCACCACCGCCCTCCATCCACCTTACCCATCTGGCACTGGTACATGTTCCGTGGACTCTGGTTGTGGTCAGAGAAGGGGATGAAGTTGGCGATGACACTGAGCAGGCTGTGAGGGAAGAGCTCCTGATGTGTGGTGACTCCAGCAAAAACYTCATCCTCAAAGATAGCGATGTTCATGAAGAGCTGCAGGAGAGGAAGGCTGAGGACAAGGCACCGAACAGCCAGACTCTCACTACCTCCCCACCTCCAGCACTCAGAGGCCCCAAAGGAAGCATCCCCTACCCATCATCATGCATGCTGAAGGGACCCCCTGAGATGCACAGGAAACTTCCACTTAGAAATACCACTTGCCTCACACCTTCACCCCAAATCTACCAGGGTCCAGCTGTGAAGGGGATCAGGACGAAAGACAACTTTTGTTAAGTAACACAAATCCCACAGTTTTGCAATTGCGAAGATGTGGGCAAAGCCCAAGAGCAACAGAGACTTTAATCTCCCCAGCTGAGGTAGAGCCAGAGGCAAAGGTGCTATGGGAGTGGGGCAGGATGGGAGCACTGAGCCTCCCTCGGGTTCTGAGGAGTGAGGTAACACAGCAAGATACGGAAGTGGTTCAGTAATGTCACTTAGGGGTGGCCAGAAAATAAGTGCTTTCTTTCAAATGCCTAATTTTTGCTGAAACAATACCCTTAAAAGCAACAATGAAGCCTCTGGAGGTTCCGCTACACAAGCAGAGACCCGCCTTCACACAGGCTGTGCATACCTGTTCCATCGTGCCAATCAATTCTTCTTGGCCCAGTTCCAAGTTCTGCACAGGCCGTACCAGTCGGCAAGGAGTGGTAAAAAGCAAGAGTCCTGGGTACAGACTTGGCTTTCCTGTCATAGGGACAAGGACCACCTCCATCCAGGGGGGGATTCTTTTTTCTCTCAACACCTGTTTTCAACAAGAGAATGCAATTAAGAGCATGTGCTATGTTTTATGCCCCTCCCCCCACTTCCCTTCTACAGGGAAAAGCACTACCTAAAAAACATTAGGTCACACCAGTAATCAACCCAGGGCCCACTAAACCTGAAGCCACAGTAATCCCTGCCAGTCCATTCCCATACAGAACACCATCCACCTCTTATTCAGAAATGGCAAAAGCCCTACACTTTCTTGGCTCAGGCCTCTTATCAAGAAAACCAGTTATGAGACTGGGGAAAAAATAAAAAGTTTATTCTCTGACATCTGAAATATAGATGATTGGTTTTACTTTTAAATATATTAATTACATGAAAAGACCCTTCCACCTGGGAATTAAAAAAAAAAAATCCAATAAACTATTAAACAACTCCTGCGCAAAGGGATAAATACAACTAGAAATTATAGAAATTTGAAAAAAAATGATAAGACCCCTGTGTCAGAACTTATGGGAACTCAAAGCTCAACACATCATCAATAAAGATGAGAGGGTGCTGGGCAGAGGCAGAAATCAGCAGAGGCTGGTTAGGCCAGAGGAACAAGTTCTGGAGCTCCACCGTACAGCCTGTGCCCACAGCTAACACCACAGCTGATGACAGGGGATTGCGCAGCAAATCTGCCAAATGTGTAAACCTTGGACATTCTTAAAAGAAAAGCTAAAAGGAACAAAGTCGACCAAAAGAAATTAGCGATACTTTTTTTTTTTTAGAAATCACCAGTTTAGGAAATTCCCATTTCCAAGAGGAAATGGGAAAAAGGCAAACTACTAAAACAGATCTTAATGGAAACAGCAAGCTTAAGAAGACTAATCCCTTAATAAAAATAAATAATTTCTAATGTTTTACCAAAGCAAGGAAGATTGAAACCAGGGCCTTAACACATGGAAAGCAAGCACGCTACCCACTGAACGACAAAACAAAATACTTATGAATGCTGATTTCAAAACATAGAAAACAAACAAACCACATCTTCTACTGGTCCTACCATCTCTCTGCCTCTCACTGTGGACCTCTGGCCTCAGCTGTCCCTGATGGACCCCTCCTGTTCCTGAGCCACTGGGCCTCTTGTACTGCTCTGGTCCTACACCCTGCAAACACCCCTCCTCCAGAGGGGCTGCCTCTCACAATGCCAGCACAGCCTGCTCCCAGACGCAGACACAGACTCACTCATCGCATTCCTCCTCCTATGAGCGCAGGAACAACACCAAGTCTCTGACTTGGGAAAACCCGTAAACTACTATTTTCTTACTCAATACTGGGGAGGGGGAACCTAGAGCTTCTTTGCATGTGCTAGACAATTGTTCTAGTACAAAGTTACACCCCCAGATACCCACTTTTTTTGAGATAGCGTCTTGCTAAGTTCTGAGCCTCAAATTTGCAATCCTTCTGCCTCAGCCTTACGAGTAGCAGGGATTACAAGTGTATGCCACTGCACTTGGCTTGGAAGTACTCTTATGGTACTCCTTAAATATTAAGAAAACAGTCACCAGCACCAAATGGGATCTTTCCTTAAAATTGACTCATCATTAATTACTATTATCAGAGAATGAATTAACTACCAGATTAATCCATCTAGAGGAAAACTTGAATTTTCCCCCAAAAGGTGTCAAAAACTAAAGGTGATTCAGTAATTCCATTTCTAGGTATATAACCCCCCAAAATTGAAAGCAGTTGGTCATGGTGGCTCATGACTATAATYCTAGCAAGTAGGGAGGCCAAAGCAGGAGGATCACAAGTTCAAAGYCAGCCTCAACAACTTAGCACATGGAAGGCAAGCAATTTAGTGAGACCCTGTGTCAAAATAAATAATAACGGGCTAAGACCATGGCTCCATGGCCAGTGGTTAAGCTGCCCTGGGTTGGGTTCAATTAGTAGTTCAAGGAAAAAAAACAAAACAAAAAAACCCAGAAAGCAGACACTTGCATACGTATTTACTTAGTGAGGTTCACAGCAATGAGGGACTTGCAGTAAACAAAATGTAGCACAGCCACACAATGGACTGTCACTCAATCTTAGGAGGAAGGAAACTGTGACACGTGCTGTGAAATGTCAGATTCGATGAACCTTGAGGACACTACACCACAAAAGGTCACCGTATGCCACTTACCACAGCCAAACCCACAGAGGCAAAGCAGAACAGGGGCAGAGCGAGGATAAAGAAGCAGTGCTCAAGGGGCTCAGAGCTGCAGCCCAGGATCACGACGGAGGTTCAGAAACAGCTGGTGGCACAGCTGCACAACAGTGTGAATGTGCCTGAGGCCACTGGACTGCACATTTGAAGTGGTTAAAGTGGTGAACATTTTTATGTGTATTTACCAGAAAAAAAACAGCCCAGAGGGGTTCCCACTGACCAAATAAAATGATAATGGGGCGGGCTGGGTTGTGGCTCAGAGGTGGAGTGCTGGCCTAGCACATKCGGGGTACCTAGTCCAATCTTCAGCACCACATAAAAATAAATAAATAAAATAAAGGTATTGTGTCCAACTAAAACTAAAAAATTAAACGATAGTGGCTGGGGGTGGGTCAGTGATAGAAGACTTACTTAGCATACACACACCCCAAGTTCACTCCCCAGCACGAGGGGGGGGGGACCCCCTGGCAACAGAACGCCCATGAAATAAAACAGGCATTTATGAATCTATGTTGATGTAAATAAACACAGAATAGCAACATATAAACAGATCAAGCAACAGAGTTAGGAAAGAGCACTCAGCAAACCAGCAAACCCTGAACTCTGCAGAGAACCTCCAGTGCCACAGTGCAAAGCAGCCAAGAACATCGACCACTTGGTGACAACTGGGTGGGGAAAAAGGGCCTTCATGTACGTTTCAACTGCCCCTCCACAAACCACTTGGTAGTCATTATATAGTTACTATTATACAACCTAATAAGAATTAAAATTAACCTTTCCACAGAACAAACCAACATTATGTGCTTCCTGAAATGATATCCCAGGTATCACCCCGGGTAAGTAACATATAATCCCAAATGAAGGGATCCTGTACACAGTAAACGGTGGTACTCTTAAAGCTAAAATTTGTTAACACAAGCAGACTGAGGCCTCAATGAAACCAGCAAAAACTGCATGTGAGTTAGGTATCTGTCACTGACCTGAACCTGTAAGGTCGGTACAAGGCAAGACTCCAGGCACTTTTAGAATTAGCTTTCACCCCTGACAGTGGATGGTTCCATACTGCCCTGGGGCTACCTCATCAACCAGAAAAAACCCATGAACCTAAAGTCAAGGGGTATAAGAATTCATAAAAACTCAAAATCACCTTAAATCGTCGGAGAGAATCTGCGATGCCAGGAGCAAGATCCTTATCTACCCAGCCCACCATGAGGCCATCCAGCAGGACAGGGTAGCACTCACTGTAGGGTCGATGTGGTGCTCCATCAACAGGAGTGACCCCTGGTGAAGAGAGCACACAGAATGATGAATGCAGAGAGTTTTACTTAATCCCGCCAGGCAGGCTTGATGAGGCTTCATCAGTTGAGCTATCTAATCATCCTGCCTCTAAACAGGTAATTTTGTATTACAGCATAAATCACGTCAGGAAAGATGTGGGCGACACTAGGAACTGTGCCTGTGAGTAGACCAACCAGGGCGAGTGTCCAGAAGGCTGTCCACTGTGTAACTTCTTACATGCTGATTTCTGAGCCATGGAAGTATATTAACTTTTCCCAAAATAGCCTAATTATAGTTGATCCTCATTATCTGCAGACTGGTATCTGTATATTTGCCTACTTGCCACATTTTATTTCTAACTACAAAATTAATACCAGGGGCAATTTCAATTGTCATGCAACAAAAAATTTGAGTCACCTCATACACACCTTCTGCTTTATTGTCCCAGCTCACACTATCAAATGTCCTGTTCAAAGCTACACTTGTATTCCTGTGCTTTTTGTTGGTGATTTCATTGCTTTAAATGGCCCTCATGTGCAGTGCCAAAATGCTGTCCAGTGTCCCTAAGTGCAAGGCAGCTATAATATGCCTTATAGAGAAAACACGTGTGTTAGATACACACGTTACAGTGCGGCTGGCTATGAGCCCAGGGCTAGACTCAGGGGATGGAAGGCAGACATTCAGAAAAGGGGTCCAGCATTTGTAATTCAGTGTTGGCAAGTAATTTACAGAGCACAAGTACTGCAAATAATGAGAATCGACTGTAATTAAGTAAAACCAAGACCCTCTTCAACTACTTCTGAAGGCACTGTTTTCCTGACTGTCATAGTTGCCCATGCTGCTTCATCTGTCATATCAATACTTCCTACAGAAAGTAGTTTGCCTCTTTTATCCAGTCTTCTTCCCCAGGGCTAGAGCACATTACCCTCCCACCCTTCCTCTGCAGTGGAGACATCTTCTGCCTCTCCACATTTTTCTTCTTCCTTTCTACCTTCTCCTGGACTTTGACACTTTAAATCACTGGTAGTATACACAATTATTCTTTTTCTCACAGAGGGCACAAGTACAAATAACACTGATTCTGTTTTTTTTTTTTTTAAGATATATATATATATTAGTTGTAAACGAACACAAAGTATCTTTATTTTTATGTGGTGCTGAGGATCGAACCCAGTGCCTCACTAATGCAAGGCAAGCGCTTTACCACTGAGCCCCAGCCCCAGCCCCTGATTCTATCTTTTGCATCTTGACTACTTCTTGAAAACTTCCCCTGAGGCTCCCTCTTACAAGTCACTCTCTAATTAGGAGATGAACAGAGGACAGCCTTCTTTTTAACTGTCTTCCTACGATCAGCACTGTTTGCTACCTAGAGATGCAATGGTCCACCAACAAATACAGAGAAAGAGCCCCCAAAAGTTACATAATACCTTCCTGCTTTCAATATCCACATTGGTCTATTTCAAATTTTTAACTTCTTTTTTAAGTTTAAAAAAAAATCTACAACTTTTAATTTTCCTTGTTTTCATTTTCAAAGAATGCATTCGATCCTCTGTAAAGAAGCCAAGAATATAGACCCACTCCTGCATGGAGCAGTGAAAAAAGAATTTTGCCTTAATGGTTTGCATGTGTTAACAACCACAAACCCTCATACCTAAGCTGCAGAGCAGAGTTGGAAGAGATGTTGTATACACAAGCTGCGTGACGACCTCACACGTGGCAGTTAGGTGGTTCATCAGACCACAGGGCGCCCCATCTGGGGTGTGCACAGGGCAAAGGAAGCCCCAGGACTCTGGCAGCAGCCTACGTACAGTGGTGGTCCTCATCTTGGCAAAAGCAGCCCCTCTGTGCACACAGCGGAAATGGGAGAGATAGCGTATGAAGTTCAGCTTGTCAGCCACAACACAAAGTCCAGAATCTTGCAGGAAGCCAAGACCTTAATAAAACAAAAGTCACTCAAAAACAGGCCTGACTTTTCCAAAAAAAAGGTCCACTTCTGAGGCTTTGATGACAAAACCTCAGCAAATTCTACAGAGCAAATGGGTCATTTTAACATTCACTCTATTCATCCTGATAAGTAGAAACAGAAAATAATTTTGAAAGTCCCCAGGATTCAGAAATCGTATTGCCGCAGCTGGTTGCCTATCCCCTCCACCACGCCCTCCTCTGTGGAGAACACTGGATGATAATGGAACCACCAGTAATTACATTCATCTAAGCACACTCGGAATACATGAGCACTACCAGCATGCCACTGAGAACAGGCAGCAATAGCACCTGTTTATAAAAAGCAGATTGCTGGGTCCCCATTACAGCTTTTTCCGCTTCCCAGGTCATTCCATGCCCTTGGTCCAGGGATGGGCCCACAGCAGTCCTTCCAGGCCTCCCACTAGGTCGTCCTCCTGAGACACCTAAGGCAAGGAGGTGCCCACTAGGATGTAAGCCACACAGACACCCATCTAAAGCCCTTCAGGCTGACACTTGTCAAAATTTATCATAAAACAAAATCTGTCTTTTGAGTGAAAGTGAGAAGTTTACTAAAAAACAAAACAAAAAACTTCCTCAGTTACATATAAACCTACACTATGCAAATATTTGAAAAATATGACTAAAGTAAAGCCTAACTATTTAATTTCACCTGTTTTCGAACGCAGATTCCCAGTAGCAAGAAGATATTCAAATGGTCTTGTAAGGTCTGTTCCCATACTGAAAATCTTCATCAAATTTTCAGAGTTTATGGACACATCAGTCTTCTGAGCCTTCTTATCTAAAGCTATTTTAATAGACACTAACCAAGCTTCCATTTTTTCCTGAAAGAAGAAGAAAATTCAAATTTCAAACAGTAAATGATTCAATTATCACAAATTCCATATTCACTCACACATAATCTGTACAATCAATAACAGTCCATTATACACATTACATGAAAATGTAAACCACAAACCTTAAAAACAGCTTTTCAACATCCTGCTAGAAGCCAGGCATTTCTTAAGAGAGAAGACACAACTCATCTAGACCAGGGTTTCTTCCTCAGCACTACCAACCCTGGGGCTGGAGACTGAGGTGGAGGTTGTCCCGAGCACCACAGGGTGTATCCCTCAGTCATTGCAACCAAGCACACATCTAGACCATGGACACAGGTGGTGAAGCAAAGTATTGCATGTGGGGAGTCAAAACACTGTTCTAAACCATCCACATTGATGTTTGACCATAGATGACCAAAACAACAATCACTGTGTTCCCAAGAAGAAATACAGCCAAGAGCACAAGGTCCCCAAATTAGATCCAACATCCAAGACAGTGACAGGCCAGGAGGGAAGGCTGAAACTGTCTTCTGTAAATCTGAAATACAATCAAAGAGCAGCCAAAGACAAAAAGCCAGAAGAGGAAAGAAAGCCACTGAGATGCCGGTCAGAGGCTGGGCAAAGCTCCTGGGCCTGAAGAATAAAGAGCTATGCTCTCTCCTCCCTCAGAGGACTGACTGCTCATTATCTTTCCTTTCTAAGGTCTGACACATGACTGTGCCGATGGGATGTCTTCCTGCACACCCTGTGCAGTGGTCGAATCTGGGAACAAGCACTTGCGGGCACACACCAGCAGCTGGCACATGCATGTTTGTTCAAGCCTCACAACAAGCCCCCTCCAGGGAGTGGAGTGTGACAGGAACACTGAAAACCCTTGGCCAAATTTACTTCAGAACCCAGAATTCTGCAGACATCTCCAGAAAGCTGACAGGTGTGTGAGGCACGCAAAGCCCAACACTGGGGCCCTGACTCGACATCAAACACATCTCTACGGTACACAGTCATTCGGAGGACAGGAGACACTACACAGTCTCCTGCAAGTCAGGTCAGGTGTGGCTGCCAACTGACTTTTTCTGGTACTTTCTGGAGCTGGAACTACAGATAGAGTCAGGGACTCACATGGGCAGCCCGCACACTTCAGCACGAGCAGCAGAAGTGAGCAACCCCCTAGGCGGCCTTCCTGTGGTGCTCCCCAGCCTCTCTGAAAGGTATAACCTGGTGATGATGATTCCATGCCTGAGGCAGGGAAGGAGACACCACAGGGGATGGTGAGCAGAGTCTACCTGACCTGCTCCAAGGGGCAGAAAGGGAGCGGTCAGTGCTTCCACTCCCGTCACTCAGCCCTCAGATCCAATCCCATGGACCCCACAGAGCACCCGGATCTCTGTGGCAACACTCAGTGCAATGGCTAGAGAAGTCGATTCCTCAAGTCACTGACAGGTATCTTTTTTTTTTTTTTTTTTAAAGTATTGGAGATTTAACTCAGGAGCACTCGACCACTGAGCCCCATCCTCAGCCCTATTTTATTTAGAGATAGGGTCTCTGCTTAGCAGAGACCTCGGTGTTGCTGAGGCTGGCTTTGAAGTTGTGATCCTCCTCTCTCAGCCTACTGAGCCAATGGGATTACAGGTGTGCGCTATGGTGTGCATCACTGTGCCACCTGGCATTGTCAGGTATCTTCTAAAGACAGTTTTCACATCTCATATTCAAGGTTTGGAAGCTTAAACAGAGCTAGTGAAAGGTAAGGAAATCAAATGCTCCCCTGTTGCTGACAAAGGTCACCCTACTAATATCTTGCTTCTGAAGACACACAGTCAGCTCRGGGATAAGAACCCCGAACTTCACTGCAAGGATGTAGCGGGAAATGCACCTTAGCCTTTACTTGATAGGCCACACAACAGCAAATTTCTAATTTATATTTTTATCAGGGAAATTCCAGGGTGCTAAAATTTTTCAATCCAATTTTATGAACAGAAAAGACAAAAACAATTACCTTCCAACAAGAATTATCATTTAGATGATGAAGAATCAGGATATTTTTTTTTTCAACTTTAGCCCTCTCCATCTTCCAATACACAACATTACCTTCTAGACTAAATCTTTTTAGGGATAATATGCAAAACATAAAATGCTGTGGAACTGACTTTCCTATGGAATCACTTCTATACCAGCCAAGTCCCACTGTATACAGCGACATCGAGTCTGGCATGTTCATGTTCTGGGCCACCACTGTGAACACACAACTAGCAAGTGCTGGCCCTACTCCCAGGGACACACAGGGCTTGGTTCCTGTCAGTTTCTGATCAAAACACTTCTGCAACTGGTCAGTACACAACACCTTATTTTACATGTGTGTCTGTTGCAAGAAACCTTATTTAATACATACAGTTGCTTCTCCAATGTTAATGTGGGTTCAGAGGCAGAGCATAGCCTTCTTGCTTTTAGGAGAACCAAACAGGACTTCACCACTATAGGCCCTTCTAAAAGGCACAGTATGCACACAGGCACCCATAAAAATGTGAAAACCTGCACTTGGTAGAACTCACAAAGACCCTTGTTTACACTATGACAGCTGAGAGAAGGCAGCCACAGCCTTCTTCAACCTCAGCTGGGAACATAAGGATGAGGGGCCTCCGTGCCCATATCTGTGAGCAGCTAAGGAAGAGCTGGGTACTGATCCTGGTGCTACAAATCACTTCAGCAAGTAGTGAATTTGAATACACAGAATATGCAAATAACGAGAATCTGCAAATTAACTATATGTATGCATACAGGCCATTTATAYTACATCATCAATGTTATGATCAAGATCTGATGTTGTTTTTACACTCTACAAAAGATAGTAAACAAATATCTGAACTTGGTATAAGCTAGGATTTTTGATTAATCCTCACTGCTGAASACACAAAAAGGAAGACTCTGCAGATGCCAAAACCAGGAATCATAAACACGCAGGAAACATACCATACCGTTCCCTGAGTGGCACAAGTGGTCCAGGGTGAGAGCAGCATGGATTTACCTTCAAAAACATAAGGAACAGCTGGCCAGGTGTAAGGACTTCTTGATTCACCAAACTATCAGGATTCTCCTCCATGCACTCTCCTCTGGCTAAAGCAAAGAGCTTCCGGGTCATGAGACAAAGTACATAAAACTTTTCAGTACTGGATTTCAAGTGGATGCAGATGCACTGGCTGTAAAATAGAAAAGTAAAAGCTTCAAACAATTCAGCTTCAAATGCCACTTAATGTCCCTCTTACCAGGTCCCTCATTCATGTTCACTTTTTCTTTTGGTAGGTACTAGAGACTGAACCTAGAGGCATCTTACCACTGAGCTACATCCCCAGTCCTTCTTACTGAGACAGGCTCCTGCTAACTTGGCTGGCCTCGAACTTGTAATTCCCCTGCCTCAGCTTCCCAAGTTGCTGGGATTATAAGCATGCACCACTATGCCCAAATTCTTGTTAAATTAAAACTCCTTCCTCCAAAAAATTACTTTTCATCTTTACTAGCAACCTTAACAAAAGAGCAGAATATCCTCATAAAGTCTAGAACTGTGCTGGCCAATGTGGCTATTTAAATTTAATTAAAACTAAATCAAATTAAGAATTCAGTTCCTCCTGTACTGGCCACATCTCCAARGCTCAACATGTGGCTCCTTACCAGACAGTACTACTCCAGAGCTGGGCTCCTCTAATAGCTACCAGTAGTCACAGAAGACAAAGTTCTTGCTGTGGGGAAACCGACTGACAGGACACCCTCAACAAGTGCATCCAGGTACAAAGAAATCAAGTAAATGTCTAAAATTTGAACTGCTTTAGTGACTACAGTGTTCAATGTGCTATTTGGAAGATGTTCTGAAGTCTGAAATTATTTCAAAACAAAAGAAGTACAACAAAGTGAACTGAAGTGACCATAAGAAGRAGGGTGAGGACGGCCAGAGACAAAGCTGGCCCATAGCAGCGGGGCCTGATTCCACCCCAGCTTCGCTCTGACTCCCAGCACAATCCGTACTCCACTCAAAGACCACCAACACCCTCCTCCCAGCCCTTCACCTCCAAACACAAGCCAAGCACACATACTTGAACAAGAACTCTGCCGCCTGTTCATTGGAGTACCAGTCAGGAAGACTGAGTTTCACTCTGAAGCATTCCCCCAGGTAGTTAAGGACCTGTTTCTGTGTGGAACAACCCTCTTCCATTACTATCCTCAACATCTGAGACACAGAGTTCCTAAAGAAAGAGTCATCCTCTTTTCCTTTGATGAGCTCTTGAAAAATCTGATAATCAGAAAAGCTGACAAGTGCCTAGAATGGAAAAGAAAGATTCTTTTTAATCCTTTGCCAATAATAACACAAATATTTTATTGTTTAGTTACAATTCTCTCCTCTTATGACTTTAATAACCAAGAAAAATCAGCACTCCACTATTGCTGAAATGAAGTAAACTCTGCAAAATAATGCATTTTTTATATGACAGCTGGACACCAAGATGCTCCCAGTGATCCTCACCTTCTGATAATCACAAATTTGTACAGTTTCCTCCCATACTAAGTGACCCAAACACTATGGCAAGAAAGATGCTGTAGACTCCCCAGGCTGAGTCGAAGGGCACTGTGGCTTCTGCCTTGTCTTCTTGGCTAACTATCTGGGGGAAGATGGGTGAGAGGAACTGAGACCTCCTGCCAACAGCCAGCACCAACTCACCAGCCAGTGAGCGCACCACCATGAAAGTGGATCCTCCAGCCCTGGAGCCTTCAAAGTGACTGCCACCCCTACTGACACCTCACTGCAAGTTCCTGACGCCCCCAAGCCAGAAGTGCCCAGTAAACCCACTCCTAAACTCCCAACTCACCGAAATTGTGGGAGATATGTTTACTGACATTTTAAGCTATGGAATTTGGAGGCGATTTGTTATGGAGGCAGTAGATAACTGTTATGGAGGCAGTAGATAACTGGCACAGCTTGCACCTGACAAAGAGAACCTACCTGATCTGCACAGGATACTACTTCAGATGAGTCTCCTCATAACAAAAAGAAAACTTTCACAAATCATACCTTAAGTGCAAATCCCAAAGGAAGAAAGAACAGCTCTTTCCGGTAAATGAAGTTCAACATAACTGTGCCATTTTCCAGGTAGTGAAGGTTCATATTGACTGCAGAATGTTCTCCCTTCACACAGTGCATTGAAACTCCTATTGAAACAAATACCAGAAACTTGTAAGACCATACTTTCTTCAAAGATTTTTCTCTGAATTATTTTATTCTTTTAGGTATAATTTAAGCCAAATCACTAAGTGTATCCAAGAATGACAACCAAAAATGTCTCCAAGACTTTACCAAATGTCCTCTGGAGTACAAAATCTTTCAGGATGTGAAACTGTGATGTAAAATAACCAAAGCAAAGAATTTAACTAAACTTCCAAGTTTCTTTCCAGGCCAGAGCCTACATACTACTGAGCATGTTTTAGTCCCTGCACTTTGCAGAACATGGATGTCAGTGCAGCAAACCCCACCACCCTACAGAGTCTGACAGAGATGATGGCCTGACCCAACAACTCAACATAGAAAAGCAGAACTTGTCAGCTTCAGACAAGGGCTGCTAAGACAAACCACATCAACTGAACAAAAGAATAAACAGCTAGACATTCTGACACACGGACATACTGTTTTTTTTCTAGCTGCCATATGTATGATGACAATTAAAAGACTGACTTTTATCTCATTTATAAGGATAAATCATGTAACTGTCAGGACTGCCAAAGAATGCCATACGCTGTCCTGTGAAGCCAGGCATAGTCACAAAGAGTGCCCAAACAGGTCAGGAGGCTGTCAGAGACCAAGAGGGGAATGCCAAGGCAGCTGGAATCAAAGACCTCCAAGGCACTTGTCCCAGACCCCACCCCATGACCAAGCGAGGCCAGTCTTTATCTTTACATCCAGTAACAAACACATAAAGTCTTTCAGCTTTAAAACACAGAAAGTAGTTTTCCCAACATAAAATGTTTTATCAGATGTTATTTTAATTCTTAAAATACAAACTGATTAAAAACTATACATATTAAAATGACTGATAGACAGATGACCCCACTGATAGGCTGTGACTTTTTTCTACTTTACCATGGTACAAAAGCCATACTCCATTCATACTTCCCTTTTTTATTTTTTGGGGTACCAGGAAATTAACTCAGAAATGCTTAACCACTAAGCCACATCCCCTTTATATTTTTAATTTTGAGATGGGGTCTCACTAAGTTGCTGAGACTGGCTTTGAACTTGCAGTCCTCCTTCCTGAGCCTCCCAAACCACTGGGATTACAGATGTGCACCACCATGCCCAGCCATTTCTGATTTCTGATCTTTGCCCAGGCTCCAATGCTATATGGTACTCTCTTGTGATATTGGAAAGCAGCAGATACGCTACAATATACTCTGTTGTGGGTGTTTGGGGCACTGTGTTTTGTATTTTCACATCCGACCATATCCACAAAAAGCTCAAGTGTGTGTACATGAGACAACCAACACTGTATAAAACAAATTCTGTGTCAAGATGATCTTGCCTACCTGCAGGCTAACATCAGTGTTCTGAACATGTTTAAGGTGGGCTAGGCAACGCTCAGCTATGATATTGGGTAGCTCAGGTGTAAAAAGTGTTTCCAGTGCCAGGGATTGAACTCAGGGCCTTATACATGTTAGGAAAGCACTCCACCACTGAGCTGTATCATCAGTCCCTAAGTTTCAACCTAGGATGGGTTTATCAAAACAGCACCCCATCCTAAGCAGAGGAATACCTGTATACTAATGATTAACATAAACTGATTAAAACATTATTCATCACCCAGGTCTCCATCTGTGTGTATGTGTGCACCTGTGGGGCCATGACGCTTAGATCTACTGCACTGTCAAATTTCAAGTAAACAATACAGTATTATTAGCCAGTCACCATGATAAACGTTAGCACCAGAACTTATTCATTTTATAAACATCTGTACCCTTTGATCAATCTCTCTCCATTTCCTCCTCCCCATTATGAATCTTAATATAGATATTACTAATAGAAAAACAAAAAAAATGTAAGAGAAAAATATTAACAACTCTACATAGATGCATATACTTTTTAAAAAATGAGTTTTAAACGTTTCTAAAAAAAAAAAAAAAAATCCCAATGGTCACTCAAACTTACCAAATTGGGTATAGCCAGGCCCTCTGCTTTTCCACTTTGGTCTTACCATTGCAATGGGGAAATTTCTCCGAGGCATAATTAACATTCGGATGACTTTTTCAATGCCATTGATTATAAAATAGCCTCCCATTTCCTACCAAAGAGAATCTGTTAAACAAAGGTACACAACTAATTGTGAACACAAACCTTATTTCTAGCCAGATGCGGTGCACTATGCAGAAGAGGTGTACATAGGTGAAAGGGACAACAGACCCCTTGAAAACAGAGTGGACGTGGTCTTATTACGTACTTTAGAAAGGCCCAGGGACACAAGGGAATTTTCATTCAGAAAATTAAGGTTGGGAGTGTAGCTCAGCAGCAGGGTGTATGCTTAGCATGTCCAAGGCTCTGGGTTCAATTTCCAGGAGAAGAAAGAAAAGAGGAAGAGGAAGAAGAAGAGAAAAAGAGGAGGAGGAAGAAGAAAATTAGGGGAAAACCCACCAGTTCTTCCCCCAGTGTGGCTCTAACTRTGGAGCCACTTTTCTGGTACCATCTTAGTTGACAGTCATCAAGGGCCATACGCAGTATGCAGATGAGATAACATTGACCACTTTACCCGTCCAGAGCTGAGACAGAAAAACTGGCTCTTGCCAACAACTCCCTGTCTTCTCACTCCCAACCCGGGCTGGCTACTGTCCCACAGCCTGGACCCTGTGATTACCTCTGCCTCCTCGTGGTGCTCAATGAGGGCTGGAGGAGGAAGGCTGTATAAATTGCAAAGCTTGGACTTCACCATGATGGGAACATAGCCAAGAAACTGCTTGATGATTCCTTTTGAGATTCCATTCACTGCCCAGCTGATATCAGCCTAAATGAACACAAGAGGAAAAATTAGTTATAATATTTGGATCTGGAGAAACAAATTAGTATTTTAAGAGTGGGGAAGAGGAAAACAATTAAATGATTTTATGCTTTTGATTCAGAAGATGGGATCTCTTAGATGACATCTCTTTATATAAACCTTACTAGGAATCAAGTCCTTTTTTCAAAAATGAAGGGAGCACCACGCACTGTCATTAATACTCACTGTCAGCTTCCCACGGTAGGTACTCCTTCGGCCCCGGCATTCAGCTGGATAAACATTGAGCTCTTTGCAGATGGCCCCTTTTGGAACTGTGGGTGGACTGATGACAGCATCCACAATAGTAAGAGAGATACGCTCATCTTTGAAAGCAAAGTCAAAGGAAGGTATATCCTGAAATACAATTCATACTATTGAACAAACTGCCTGCATTTCCAAGGCACTGTTTCTCTAAATCTTTCAACTCCCCTGTGTTCTATAAGCAGCAATGCCTAAATGCCAATAACAACATATCTAAATAGGATACTCCACTCATACCTCTTCTGAGTACATTAAGTATTTTCTGATCCTGCACTGTTTGTGTCAGATTCTGTGTAGGCTTTGGGGCACAGCAGTGAAAGTGCTCCTATTCTCTGAACCAAGTAAGTGCCTACCTTCCTTACCTTTGTTCTCTGCATGGCAGAACAAATGGGACTGCTAATAGGGCAAGGAAAAGGAAACATCCTTCTGATCAGGACGGGACACTCTAGTGCCCACACTTGCACATTTTACTTCGTGGCAACCTCAGGCTGAAGCCAAAGCCATGCAAAAGTAACAGTGGTGGCCAAGGCAGTTGCCCTTCTATAGCAGTTGCTACTCTGCAGCAGTCTCTGGGAAAAGCTCTGCTCTTCTTCTGAGGAAGAAGCACCACTCGGCTCTCCTGCACAGTAATTATGAACAACTTCCTAGCCTAAATGTTAGAATAAAACGAAAAGGTTCTCCACCCTCATGTGAGTTTGAGCAATCTTTTCTAAATTTTTACCCAAAGCTGGTATTATTTTAGAAATTAAYATTTTATTTAAAAATCAAATTTATAACATATTTCATATTTAAAGTAGAGCAGTAGTTTAAAAAAACAGATGAGATTTGCTTTCTCAAACCACAGCTGAACTGTATAAATAGTCAGTTCTCATTATTCACAATAGCTATGATCTAAAAAGTCACTCCAAATACTGAATTAGCAAATAAACCCATTGCTCCTAGGCTATAAAATAGAGTCTCCTGGGAGCCTCTAGTTGTAACATTTTGTTAACCAATCAAGACATAACTTTGCTTTGTGTGTTTAATGATTTACTTAATATGCATAGCACTAAATAACAAAAAGGAGGGCTGGGGTTGTAGCTCACTGGCAGAGTGCTTGCCTGGCATGTGTGAGGCGCTGGGTTGGATCCTCAGCACCACATAAAAATAAATAAATAAAAGTAAAGATTAAAAAAAAAAGTCTGGAAACTGAAAGTCCACATATTACTCCTTATAAAACTCCACGCATATGAGCTCCATTTTTAGGGCAAATCTTCCTTGATCATCTCAACCCTGGACTCTTATCATTATTTGTATAAAACTCTACCAATTAACTTTCAATAAAATCTACTTTCTTTGTATTTGCATGACGCTAGAGTCCAGGGAAACACACAAATATTTCCCATCAATCTTGTCTTTCTCAAGAAGATTAAGGAGTATTCACCTTCAAAGAAATCCCCTTGGCTCCCATATTATTTATAAGCATCAGACCAGCCATCAAAGCTCTCTACATTCTAACCCTCTCCATGTAAATCTGACAACACCACCACAGGGCAGTGTCCCCTAAATCTGTGGATCCTGGAGGAAAAGCACTCTCCGCTTCCCTTGAACTCATACAAACCTGACTTCTCTTGGCAGAGCAATTCCCAAACCACTGAGTGCTTTCGGGTCTCCACTTGTCCAGTGGCCCAAATGCTCAAACCCAAGAGCTACTGCCTCTTCCCTACCCTCAGAGCCTGGTGCCTGGAGACCCCCTCCCTGCCAWCCTAACCTGTGCTCCGCAACCCCTGCAGTCTAGACCAGTCATTAGGACCCCTTTGTATTTCCTCATACCCGTCTAATCGGACCTCCAAGACACGAAAACTGAAGGAGCTCCAACTACGGATCAGCTCCAGCCTTTTGAGGCGCTTTTGCAGAAGCCAGGATTAGGAAGGCGCGTGCGACGTCAATGATGGAAAGCACCCCCAGGTGGGCACCTCTCCGCTCCCCCAGCTCCCAGGAACCGCCCTACAAGCAACCACGGCTMGCCGCCACGGCTCAGCCCAAACACCCCGAACCCACCTTCCCCAGTGAGTGGACCCGCGGCAGGAGGAAGCCGGCGCCGCGTCCCCCGCACGGCGAGGCGCACGTGTCTAGGGGCTGCTCCGCGGCCTCGGCCGGGCCTCCCTGGCGCCGCCCGCACCTCCCTCTCCCGGGCTGCCGGCCCGCTGCCGCCCAGGTCCCCCGGCACCGCGAGCTCGGCCGGGTGTAGCCCCGGCGCCGGGAGGCCGYCGCGCACCTGCACCGCGTGGCTGAGCCCCTCGCGCACGGCGTAGTTGAAAGACTCCACGTGCGCCCGCGTCAGCTCCTGCAGCGCCGCCTTCTGCTGCTCCGGAGGGACCCCGTAAGAGGGGTCGGTGAGATGCTTCAGGCTAGGCCCGCTGGGCAGGCCACGCCACCGGCCGCCGGGATCCATGCCGCCTCACGCCCCACACSAGCGGCGGCTCCGCGGCACGGGAGCAATGGCCGGCCCCGCGGCCTGCCGGGAAGTGTAGTTTCCGACTGCTCTGCCCGGCTCGGTCCGGCCGCTTTATGGGGTCGGTGTGCAACCAAAACCGCAGCGCGAATGGGCGGCCGGAACTTCACGGAGCCAGAGCAGGACGGACCGCCCCAGTCCGCTTCGGCAGAGGACGCTGGCGGTGGGGGCGGTCCCGCTGCCYTTGGGTTGGGAGTGCGGAGTAGCGCTGTCTTCCCTCGATCCCGACCCTGGGCCATCATGCGAGAGTCAACCGTTACCGTCAGCCAGCTCGTCACTGGGACCCAAGCAGAGGCGGCCAGGGCTGACCCTGCCCTTCTTCTGGACCGAAGCCACGGGCCGGGGAAGAGGGCGTCCACGTGGACTCACCGTCCTTGGGCCTCGCGCGCGTGTCAGTGCGTGGTGCAGCCGCACACAGTCCTGCGCACGTCTAAAGTGAAGGCGTGGCCAGCTTCCACCTTTGCACACTTGGGAGGCCGCCACCGAAATGCAGCCAGTRAGCTGACCCCTCGCCCCTCAAAGCGTGCTCCCGCCCTTTGGGAATGCAGATTCCCTGGTGTCAGCCTCCCCTCTTCCTAGTTCAGCTAGCGGGTTAGTCAGCTTTGTGTGGCTGTGGCGCAGGACCTGGGGGGGAGGGGGACAGCCTAGAGAGGGAAGGATCTGTTTGGGCTCCTGGTTTCAGAAGTTCCGTCCACTGCCTCCATTACTTTGGGCATGAAGTAAAGGCCCATCGTGGTGGAAGGGCATGGAAGAGGAAAACGTTCATCTCATGGCAGCCAGGAAACAGAAAGGTAGTAAGATATAGTCCTCAAGGGTATGTCCTCAAAGCCATCCCCTCCAACTAGTTCCCACCTCCTAATAAAGACATAGCTATGATTCCCTCAATGGGTTGATCCCATTGATGAGGTCCAATCACTTCCCAAAAGCCTTCCCTCTGGACAYTGCAGCGTTGGGGACTAAGCATTCAACACAGAAGCCTTTGGGGGAGACTTGATATTCAAGTCACAACAGCTGTTCATTTCCATTCCTATATGACTTTCAGAGGAGTTACCTTCTATGCCTAGTTCTCCACACCGACAGATGTGCAGCTATAACATAGGTCCTGCCTCSCCTCCTTCACAGTGCCTCTGCTCCTTCTAGGAAACCCTTCCTCTAGTCAAGGACTCCTGAAAGGCAGGAGAATAAAGGGATTCTTGCAGGGGCTATCATTCCCATCAGCACACAAAAAGGCCAGAAAAGCTCTTAAAACTACTCACAGATCCCTTTCTCTTTTCAGCTACTCCATCATTTCTCTGTCCCCCTTCAGAATACAAATTGGAAGTTGACCATCCTCACTGTCTCTCCACTGTTTTCAAGGTTCATTGATGTCACAGTTTTTCCTTTCATGGTTGAATAATAACTCATTGTTGTGGATGTACATTTTGTTTATTCATTCATTAGTTGATGACATTTGAGTTGATTCTACTGTTTGGCTATTATGAAATGCTGCTGTGAATATCAGTGCACAAGTTTTTGTTATGTGTGTTTTCATTTCTCTTAGGTATTACAACTAGGAATGGAATATATTTGCCAGATTTCTGTTCTCACAACTAAACGGCTCAGGGGTCACTCTAGTTAAACTGGGCTAACTGGGCTGCACGAAATAACCACACAAGAGACACAAATACCTTTTTCTTTGGGGTTTCTGTGACGGCTCCTCTGACCTTAAGGGTCCACAGAAAGAGAGAGAGAGAGAGAGAGAGCACACGCGCTGACCCCTTTTATTGAGAAGCTATTCAAGTGAGGCAAGGGGTCAGGTTTCAGGGGACTGAGTATCTTCATGATGTCCACTGTCAGCAGGTTGACTGACACCTGGGTAGGCCACACCCAAGGGCACAGTAAGAGGAGGGGACACACACAAGGCACTTCCATGGAGATTCATTCTATCCTAAACAGGGCAAGGGGTTATATTACAAAGGAACAGGTGAGCATAGCTTCACCYATGGGGCTGTAGCAAGACACACCCATTTCTGTGACTAAGAGCTTCAGCACCCAGCTGGGGAGTGTAACTCAGTCACCCGTAAGGTTGGCCTCCCACATATATTAACTCCATAATTAACATTTTAAGGTTCTGTGAAACTTTTTCAAAGCACCTGTACAATTTATTTAATATGTAAGGATATTGTAGCAATAAATAAGGATTCCAGCTTCATTGYGTCCTTACCAGTGCCTAATACTGTCTTTTGATTATTACTTGCTCATGCAGTAATATCTGGTTGTGGTCTTGATTTGCATGACCTAATAACCAGTGATATTAAGCATACTTTCCTCTATTTATTGATTAATATTTTCTTTGGAGACGTGTTTAGATACACGGCCTATTTAATATTGGCTCATATTTTTATTGTGTTGTGATAGTTCTTTGTGTTACATATGGCTGTCCTTAATAAGCATATTACTTACAAATCTTTTCTCCCATTTTGTGAGGTTTTTTTTTTCCTTGATGATGTCAAACTTTCCAAAAAATTTGTAACTTTGATGAAGTGCAGTTTATTTCTAAGAGTTTCATAGTTTAAACTTTAAGTCTTCAAACCTTTTTGCAGATTGTTTGAAAAAGGGATCCACTTCATATCTATTTTCAATTGTCTTTGCACCATTAAAGAATATTCTTTCCCCTGCTGCATTATCTTAGCCCTCATGTCAAAACTCAATTGACCTTATGTGCAAGGGTTTATTTTAGGATTCTCAATTCTATTTCTTTGATCTGTGTACCTGTCCTTATGTCAAAACCACATAGTACAGATTAATGGCAGCTTTGTGGTAAAATTTTAAATTAAGTATACATCTTTCAATTTTGTTCTTTTCCCTGTTTTGGCTATTTATTGTTCTTCGTAGTAACATGAATTTTAGTGTTAACTTGTCAATTTCTGCCCTCACCCCAGAAGAAGGAGAAGGGGAAAGGAGGAGGAGGAGGAAGAGAGGGGGAGGAGGAGGAAGAAGAGAGGGGGAGGAGGAGGAGGAAGAGAGAAGGAGGAGGAGGAGAAGCAGCAGCTGAGATTTTTGATCAAACTAGTTCATTCAATTTGGGGCATATTTCCAACAATAATTTCCTTACAATCCACAAAGATGAAATGTCTTCCATTTATTCASATATTCCATAACTTTCTTCAAAGATTTTTGTAACTTTTGGTGTACAGATGAATTTTTGTCAAATTTATTTCTAAGCACTTAATTGTTTTGGTGATCTGGCAACCTTGATGGACTCATTACTCCATCTAATAGTTTCTGTAGATTCCTTAGGCTTTCTATAYATAAGATCTTGTTGTTGGCAGAGAGTCCACTCTCCCTTTCTGACCTGGACATYGGCCCTCCCTTCCTTTTGTCTAATGGCTCTGCTAGAACCTTTAGTACACTTCTAAATGAGGTGTCAAGAATGGATATTTTTGTTTTCTGCCTGATATTAGGGAGAAAGTTTTCAGTCTTTGACCATTATATAGGATATAGTCTTTGGGTTTTTCCAAAGATGCCCTTTATCAATTCTTTTATTATTTTATGAGGAAAGTTGCATCTTCTGACTCCCGTGTGTTTTTATCAAGGAAGAGTGTTGTACATGATTTGAGTGTGTGTGTGTGTGTATCGAACCCAGGAGCATGCTACCACTGAACTACATCCCCAGCCCGTTTTAATTTTTTTTTTTTTTAAAGAAAGAGAGAATTTTAATCTTTTATTTTTTAGTTTTCGGCAGACACAACATCTCTGCTTGTGTGTGGTGCTGAGGATCCAACCCGRGCCGCACGCATGCCAGGAGAGTGCGCTACTGCTTGAGCCACATCCTCAGCCCCCTGYTTTAGKTTTTTGAGACAGGGTCTCACCAAGTTGCTAACACTGCCCTCAAACTTGTAATTCTTCTGCCTCAGCCTCCCAAATTGCTGGGAATTTCTTTCCCTTTTTTGTAGTGCTGGGGATTGAAGACAAGACCTTGAGCATGCTACAAGCACTCTACCCCTGACCTAATCCCTAGCCCCTGGAAATATTTTTTCTTAAACCCTCTTTTGTCTAATATTAGTAGCTCTATTTGAATTATTGTTTACATGGTRTATCTTCTCATATTCTTAATCTGTCAGCCTATTTGTTTTTTAATCTAAAGCATACCTCTTGTAGATAGCATGAAGTTGCATAATTTTTTAAAAACCCATTTTGGTCTAAAAAATAAAAATAAATTTAAGAMATCCAYCAGGCATGGTTGTTAGAGTCTGTAAACAAGTTGGGATGGCGCCYGGCATTTTGCCAGGGGGAGTGGTTTGTGAGGTGGCGCCAGCRAGCCATTAAGTGTGGAGATTCCTTATTGGTTGACTGCTGTATCTAGTTTATGTTAATTAAGATAAGCTGTGTGGAATGTATAAATACCCTTCCTGTCCTACAATAAACGGCTCCCACTCCTGCTGTTTCAATCTCCACAAGTTGTTCGTCACCCCCCCCCCCCGTTATTTTGCCGCAGCCAGACTTCGGCACATGGTGGTACACACCTGTATTCCCAGTGACCCCAGAAGCTGAGGCAGGGGATCAGAAATTCAAGGCCAGCCTCAGCAACTTAGTGTGACTCTCAACAACTTAATGAGAACCTAATTGGGGATGTAGCTCATGGTAAAGTGCTCCTGGATTCAATCCCCAGTACCCCCTCCTGCAAAATCCACTTTGCCAATCTGTCTTTTGATAATGATAAATGTTTAATCCATTTGCATTRATGAAATCATTGGTAAGACAGTATTTATCTGCCATTCTGTTGTTTCCTATATCTTGTGTCTTCCTCCCCCTTCGTTACTGTCTTTTCTTATATACTTTATACTTTCTATTTAACATTTCAGTTTCCTTATCTTTTTTGACTATAATGTTAGTCTCTTTGTGGTTGATGTGTCTTGGTGTGGCTCTCTGAATCTATCCTATTTAGAATTTATGGAGCTTCTTAAATGCATTTTAATTGTGTGTGTGTGTGTGTGTGTGTGTGTGAGAGAGAGAGAGAGGGGGGGGGGAGGAGAGAATATCAAAGTTGAGAAGTTTTTGGTTACTATTTCTTCTAATACATTTTTGTTATGTGTGTGTGTGTGTGTATGTGTGTGTTTGGGGAGTACTGGAGATTAAATCCAGGATGCTGTACCACTGAGTTATATCCCTAGTACTTTTTAAAAATTTTTATTTTTTGGTAAGTTGCTGAGGCTGGCCTTGAACTTGTGATCCTTATGCCTCAGCCTCCCAGGTCACTGAGATCACAGGCATGTACCACCACACCGGCAGTTAGGCATGTTCATAATACCCAGAAAAGCATGTTGCAGTCCTTAGTCCTCACTTCCTGCCGTGTACAGACTCAGGGGCACACAAAAATAAAAGCTGAGGGAATACASTTTTTCCCTGGGCATGCACATAGTCCTATGCCTGCATGTGACCTTCTGTGTTCTTAGAAAAATGATGAAGCTTTTCAAAACTTCCTATGGACATCTCCTTCCCCAACTTCTCCTCTTTTGGTCAGTTTGCTATTCATCTAATGGTTATAGTTACCTCAGGAAGTTGATGTAAAATAACTGCTCCACTCATTTTCAGCAAGTGTATGCAGGGAAAAGATCGTCACCTGGGCAAGCTCTGAMCCCCATCAAATAAAGAAACACCAGGGGGCTTCATGGAAGACCAGAAATGCCAAGCCGTGGCAGTTCTCTGGTAATGGGGCTTCGAGGAGCCCCAGCCTCTTTCGGCCCACTCGATGGCTGCTAGGATGCTGGACTCCTCCGTGGGTTTGTGGCTACTGGCTTCTGAGGCTGCCATGGAGCAGGAAGGGGGATGGAAATGAACAAGTTAAAATGTCACGGTTAAAAGTTAAAAGCTCATGGTTCTTACTGAGAGGCAGCCATTTTTATTAAATAAGTTTTTTTTAAAATCTTTTATTTTATTGCTGCTAACCTTTAGTAAATGTCCACACCATGTTGCTGGTGTTCTGTTGCTTTTACGGCAGAGGGAATTTTCAGAGGTTCTTACTCAGCTATTCTGATACAGGACATTGACCTGATGTCCTTTCACATGAAATTTTAAGGAGTTTTGCTGCGACCTTCAAGCTCTCCCACAAAGCATCCCGCCTCACAGGGGTGTGTTTTCCCTGCCTTTAGGAATACTTTAGGGAAAACATCTTCAAAGTTTTATTGCATCTCTGAGGCCAAGGAGAACAGGAGGTTCTTTAAGGAGGGTAAGCTACTGAGAGCAGGTGTGACCAGCTTCTGAGAGGGGTCCTTTAGTGTCTTTGAATGTGCACTCTGGGGCTTCTCAGGATCTGCCTGCCTGGTGCCACGCCTGCTCAACCCTGAGCTTTGTCCGCAGGACCTCTGCTGAGCCCCATGGAGTGTGTCATGTCACATCTAAAACTTCTTTGGAGTAGGGTACCTAAGCCAGAGTTTCTGGCTTGGAAAGACCCTCATCTGTGCTAGAAGTCTGTCTATGGAGWATAAGCAGCCCCTGGGGTGAGCCAGCTGTACCCAGGGAGAGCARAGCATGCCGCCACATTGCATAAGAAGGGACAAGTTAGTGACTGTTTCCACGTGTGAAACCTTGAGGTGTTTGTGCTTCAYAGCCACATAAAGACTTGCCCCAAGTAAAACGCTCAGGAAGGAACCTTGGCCTTCCAGCTCATCATGGAGGTTGCCTCCTTTCAGAAGCCCCTCCAACTCCTCCTGACTGTCCTCCACAACCGGGATCCACACAATACACAAGACGTGTGAAAAGTGGGGAACAGATTTCAGCACTTGAAATGGCTTTGATGCTTCATCGCAGAGCAGTTCTGAAGGACAATCTGTTGGCTGATGTAATGAGCAATGTCCTGGGGTCAGCAGACTATGGCCACATCTGGCTTGGTTGTGTGTGGTCTATGAGCTTAGACTAGTTTTTCTGCTTTTTATAAGTTTGCGGGGAAAACCCAAAGCATATGCAACAGAGACCYCACACAGCTTGCAAAGCCTAGGGATTTGCTAGCTGCTTGTTTATRGGGCAAGTCTGCCTTCCCCTGGATAATGGTGTCATGGATTTAAATAGTGAGGGACATCCTAGGACAGCCAACACTACAGTAAATGACAGACACATGGGGGCAAAAACACTTGGAATATCTTTAATGCACCAGGCATKTTAGACATCCATAAAATCACCTCATTTCAGAAATCATGTCCTCTTAGGTACAGAGTCTGTGTTCAGAACCAGAGACACATATACTACTGAGTTCTCGATGGCACCCACGTGCTACATGCGACCCACTTTGGCACCTTGTGCTGGGTAGCAGAGCCACCCCCACCACAGGGCTCCGTCCATGCCCGCAGACACCTCAGCTGTTAATGAACACACCTGTGGCTTCATTAACACCTGCTGGTTCTRTGGATCCCAGTACACTTCTAGCCCTCCCCGATATCCCATGCATGTGACCATCAGCCTGAGGAGCGTAGTGACACATCATGTCAGCTGGTACATGGGCAGCACCTGCTCCGCTCCATCTGAACACTGAGGCACTTAGATGCTCTTGGTGAAACGGAGCTTATAGTTATCTTAGGAGTAAAGTGTGAGGGAAGAGGCTTTTTTTCTCATAATTAAAACTTCAGCACATATTTAGATTTATAAAGTCACRTGTTTACATTTCCCCACCAAGGATTCATGCACTGTTGACGTGAATGAAAGCATGTTTGAATTTCCAAATGCTGTGATGGAAGCAAACAGAACCTGCTTAGACAACACCGGCTTGTGCCATGAATACATCAGTGTCTGACTGTTCTGAAAGGAATGCTCATTTCCAAAATGAATTTTCTAAGAAGCCTTGTGTGATTCTTCCAAGCTAATCATGTTTTTCTCCTTCCTCCTCAAGCAGTGGCTCCACGCATCTCAAGACATCTTGCTGCCTGAGGCTCTGACAGAATTGGCCAAGGTGGGGGGCGCCAGCATTCTCTGCCAGCTCCCAGGTGTCTCCAGCATGAGAACCCTGGTGCTCTTCTGGTTCTCATTCATCCTCATGACAAGCCCTGATCCTCGGGTCGGGCTGCAGTCTCTTCCATGAGATAAGAAACTAAGGCACAGAAAGGTAACAGGCTCAATGGACRCTGTGCGATCAACGACAGAGCCAAGGTCGGCATCAACGTGTCCTAATAAGCAGCGCCGCCTCCCCAGCGTCTGGACTAAGGAACAAAGCCAATGGGGAGCCAGGTGTGTGGCCTTCTGTGCCAAGGATGGCATGGAGGGACATGGGGCAGCTCTGAGCCAACCTCCCACCTGATGCAGAAGAGATACATAAAAGAGATCCGTATCTGAAACCCTGTGAGGGACCCACCACAAGGACCTCTTTTACCTAAAGCCTCACCTCCCTCAAATGCATGTGTGAATTCAGGTTTCTTAGAAGCCGTGCCAGGAGTCACATTCCTCCTGACAGCTGATCCCTCATGGCAAGAGCTGCAGAACTCTCCCGTGCCCCTGACTTGAGTCCCAATGAATACAAAACCTCCACAGTCCTRTAGACCTGCCAGGGCCCCAGCACCCTCCACTTTCTAAGTGGACATGCATCTTCTCTCTGCCTTCTCAGAACTCCCAGACACCAGCCCCTCGGCTGCCTCACCACTGGCTGTGTGGATTCACTCTGGATGCAAACTTCATTCTCCATGTTCCAGGTGACCAGGAGGACTTTCACTTTGTAATTCCAAATCACCAGCTGAGCAGAGCCAAGCCAGCTGGGAGGCAACTTCAATGTATCACCTTCCCGTCCCACACCCACTGCTACWCCTATGAAATCAGTCTTAATCACTATTCCTTTTTTGTCGCCATAAGCTCCCACATCTCATCATACCTGAGGAGGCGACATTATTCCTTCTCCTTCTTAAAGTCACCTGACTACAGAAACTGCCAAGTAACAATGAAAAATGGAAGACAGCACGCCCCAGRAAAGCTCTCCACACATCTGCTGTGACTTCCCAAATACTCTAAGCTCACACTGAACACAAACGACGTCTTGCTCCCACTCTCAATCGACCCATTACTTGGAAACCACATCTGAATGAACCTGTTTGTAGAGGCCTCCCAGATGCTGTGTCCAGCTCTAAACCACACCTCACCCATCTGCAGGACAGATGCTCAGAAACTGTCCCTGCAGCTCCAGGGACTGCTTGGAGCACAGGAGAACATAAGAGGGACCGCCACCTCCCTCCGGCCAGGGCCACCTGGAGAGTGGAACTCTCCCTTCTCCAACCCTTGGAGAGGCTTTACAAAGGTTAAAAAAAAAAAAAAAAATAGAGTGAAGGAAAGGGAACTCAGCAAATGTGCATCTAGAATTCTCGTTAAACAATGATAAGTGAGAACCATGTCCAAAGACCCCRTCCACCCACCCCACCTACTAAGTAAAGCACGATATGTTTTTCCTCTCATGCTTATTTGATGCTTACAGGAYTGGCAGACTGGCTGCTTTGTTTCTAAAACATGCAGAGAGCAGACTGACAGCAGTCTATGCTGTTCGGTGCCTAATCCCAGGACCCCCGATTGGCACGCCACCAGGAAGGGGGCGAGAAAATGGCCTCCCTGAGACACTATGCACRGCCGCAAAACTAAGGACAGTTGGTGCATGCGTGTCCAGAGTTTAGTGGGGCGGAACGAGGTGGAGGAGATGAGCAGKGAGCACACGGGCTACCTCCAGAACGCAGGAAGGGCCACTGTGTCCCAGCACAGCGGGCTGCAGCAATGCTCAGAGCTCAGGCCGCAGCAGGTTGGAAGGACCCCGCGGAGGCTGCAGCGCCTGCCATCCCGGGAGGAGAGGCTCTGTGCCCAGGGCCAAGTTCGGAAAGACCTGCAAAGAAGAGCACACTCAACAGCCCCCTCGGAAGGCTGGCCTGCTCCTCCCTCGGGGACATCTGCTCAGGTCCCGAAAGCCTCCGCGGCTCTGTGGAGCGCTCCGCTTGGGCAGCGCCCTGAGCAGCCCGTGGGGGCTCCCCGGAGTAGCCTTCTCTTATCACGCCCGTGCCAGGGCTCTCTCTTCCCATCTCCATCCTGTCCTTCACAGCTTGATGAAAGCGGCCGGCTGAGGCTGAGGCTGTTGTTCCACGTCTGGGGGCGGGAAGACGCTGGATATGGCTATGTCCACGATGCCCTGGCACAGTTCTGCGTAGAGCTTCCTGGAACGAGTTTCAGAAACGTCACTGAGGATGTTCATCAATGTGAAAGGGAAAAACAAAGGCTTCTCTCCTGTTTTTTTTTTTTTTAAACCAAGCTCTGCCCTAGAAATCCCATCTCATGACCATCATTATAAAATTAGCTTCMGCCACATAGACAAATAACTCAGGAGGCAGCGCATGCAGGCAAAGAATTCTCTCAAAAGCTGTGTGTGCCTATAATCCCAGTTGCGCAGCAGGCTGAGGCAGGAGGATCACAAGTTCAAACACAGCCTCAGTAATCTACCGAGGTCCTAAGCAACTCAGTGAGATCCTGTCTGTTAAAAAAAAAAAAAATACAAAAAAGGGCTAGGATGTGGCTCAGCATTAAGTGTCCCTGAGTTCTCCCAATGCCAAAAAAAAAAAAAAGAAAAAGAAAAAGAAAGTAATGAATTATCCCAACAAATAGCTTCTTTTTCTTTTTCTTTTTTTTCTTTGTAGTTGTAGATGGACAGTATGCCTTTATTTTACTTGTTTATTTTTAAGTGGCGCTAAGGATTGAACCCTGTGCCTCAMGCATGCCAGGCAAGTGCTCTGCCATTGATCTACAGCTCCAAAGACCCGCTGGGTGAACCGATCAGACCACTCCTGTTCTAACCACGGGGAAGACAGGCAATTTCAACAGCATGAGAGTCATCTGCCCTTCCAGGAGAGGACCCACCTCAGCTTCCCCTTCTCYTCCTCCTCCTTGGTGAACAAGTGAACAGGCATTGAAAAGACACTTCTTTCAGCACAAGAACAAGACCTCAGGGCCCTGGCTCCTACCTCATGGAGGAGGCTCGGGTAGCCTCCAGACCCAGTTCATGGTTAGGCCCCACCCTTTTGCAAATTCATGTACCAAAAAGACAGTATCTGGGCTGGGGTTGTGGCTCAGTGGTAGAGYGCTTGCCTCACATGTGTGAAGCACTGGGTTTGATTCTCAGCACCACATACAGATAAATGAATGCAATAAAAGTCCATCAACAACTAAAAAAAAAATTAAAAAGACAACATCTGTTCACTTTTCTATTGCTATACTTGAAATATACTCATAATACTATAACCTGGGTAGCATCTGTCTCCTTCCCTAAGTGGACTTCCTTGGGGACACTCTTCTTTACCTGTCCTGAGACCCTGCCACTCCCACCAAGACCRAGCAGAGGGACTCCAGCAGAAATGGAGTGGCGGCTGAGGAGCCAGGGAGAAGAGCCCAGAAAAGACAGAGCACTGAGGCAAGCTGTGAGGCCTGGGGCCCTGCTCGGCACGGCTCTTCAGGGAAGCGGCAAGTCTCCACTGGAACACAGGGCTGCTGCTGGTGGGCAGGACGTCGGAGCACTGCCTCACACTGCCTCACACTCTGGGTTAATTGGGGAGAAGTTGCTGTTCCTCCACCCTCCCCTTTGGGTGTCGAGAGCCATCTGTGGACTATGTGTAGACCAAACAGGCATCACAGCCAGGAAATAGGAAAATCTGGTATTATAGGACTTAACAGCGGCAATACTGCTTAAAGATGGCCCAGACACTCAGCTCTGCCAGGTCCCACACAGATGGATGGGGTGACCTGCTGGAGCCCCATAGCCTCTCAGAGATGGGTGTAGCCTGCCAAGATGCCCATCAACCTGCTGACTGCAAAACCTCATGAAGCAAGACTCCACCCCTGAAACCTCAYCCCTGCCTTTGACATGCCCCCTTACACSGCCKGAGCCATTTTCTAGTTGTTCAGCTCCAGCTCCTATGAGGGCTGGACCTATCAGGGTCTCCATGTCTCTTAAAACTGTAATTCTCACTTTGTCTTTTATTTCTTCACTAAGTATTTCAGACTTTATTTTCTCAGGTGGCTTAGCCCTTCCTGAGCAGGAAAAATTACCAAGCAAGGTGCTGGCCGCCTTGGGATAACAGGGCATCCATCCTGAACTCCTCATGGGGTAGAAGAGGCACACTAGCCTTCCAGTACTGCTGCCGGGGCCCTGCTCAAGGGTTTTCACCCTATAGGCGGGAACTGCTTCATTAATATCCAAATAAGCTTCAAGAACAAACCAAAACAGAATCACTCCCCCTCCACACGGCAGGGTCCCCTTCTTTGTTTTCTACACGTTATACTTGTACGTCTGACTGCATTCTACATCCTGTTCCCTGACCCACCACCAAGATGCAACGGCACCCTTGACTTCAGTACACACTATGGCACTCAGAGGCCCCATCTGGATACTCTCAGAGCTCTCCATAGAGAGCCCCCTCCACTGCCCCCATCTCCKCTGATGTGTAAGGGTGGGCCAAACATAAGTAAATCTCCCACCAAAGCCACTAGGTAGTAGAAAGGTGATATTATGATGTCTGTACTGCAATTACTAACTCGTGGAGGWGCAGTGCTAACCAGGAACACGTGTCTGTTCATCCAACCAATGCTTATAGAGAACTGAGTGCCCGGCAGTGCTGGGCTCCAAAACYGAGTGATAACAAGAACCCAGGCCAGCCCCTCATGGTCTATGCCACCTAGAAAGGAAMAGAAGCTAGTCAATTGCCACATGAAGGGGATTACTAAGACTCTGGCTGGAGGATATTGGGATTGTTCAGGGATGGCTCCTTGAGATGCCATTTTGGCAGAGAAGGAGCAGGTCATGGTGAGACTGATGGTGGCGGAGGGGGCTCTACATAGGGATTATAGCCAGCACACAGGCCCCCAAAGCTGGACAGTGGGCAGCAGCCCTCAGGAGGGAGGGCGGGGTCTGGTTCCAATCTCAAGTGCAACCCAAGATCTGGTTTCCATGTTTCCGCTCTGGCTGCACTGAGGAGGGTGTATTTTATGGCGCAGTGCAGACCCAGGGGGCTCTTCGGAACAGCCTCCGTGGTGATGGGAGATGACCTGCCAGAGCGTCAGTACTGGTGGCAGAGGAAGGCAGAGGACAGGGAGGTGGGAGGCAGAGCCCATGGCTTAGGGGGCAAAGCTGAGGGTGCCCGCAGGGGAGGAAGGTTCTGTGTCCACTTCCCACTTAGACCGTGGGGACAGGGTGGTGGCCTTCCAGCCCCAGAGGCGGGGTAGTCTGTGGAGAGGAGGGCGAAGGGGCTGCCTACGACATCCTCCCAGGATCYGACATCCTCCCAGGAATGAAGAGCTGAGACAATCTGTGTGGGAGGAGCCAGGCAGCAAGATGAGGGAGTAGGAAGGGCAAGAGGAGGGAGGGCAGTGCAGAGCATGGAACAGGGCCACTCTGACAGAAGGACACAGGAGTCGCAGGGCCCACTACTTCGGAGGTGGAGAAGGGGAGCATGAAGACCTTCTGCTCCCACCCCCAGGGGACCTCAGTTCCCACTGGGCCTTCGGCTCAGTGACACCCCTTGACCCTCCTCCTCGCTCTCGTCCTGGTGGTACCCGTACCTGGCCCCTCACCTTGTCCACAGCTCCTCTCCACCGAGGCCTGGGCCAGGGCCTCTGCTCCCTCGCCAGGGTGTGTGACCTAGGGAGCCTGTGTCAGCTGCAGGGAGTGACAGGTAGGTGGAACCACTCCTGTCAGTCATCAGGCAGGTGACCAAGGCTAGCCCTTAAACCACAAATGGTTCACGCTGCTCGTTGGAAAATCACCYCCATTTCCCCAACAGGGGACACGGAGCCATGAGAGGGTCCTACTGGCATGAAAGCGGGTCTTCAGAGGCATCAGGACTTCGGGGGATTCTGTCTCCTTGACCTGCCCCATACCTGGGTCCTTCCACAGAAGATCCCAACGTGCTTCCCACCTCCACCTTTCACCCCTCCGCACACAGCGYAAGTACTGCTGCTGCGGGAAGGAACGGGAGACCCCGGGCAGCTTCCGTCCACCTGAGCATCTCCCAGACCTGCCCGGAGCCCAGCACAGGGTGCTGTCCCCCTGGACGCCGCCTCCCGTCTGCAAGCCGTCCCCATGCCCTGACACTCTCTCCTTGCGTGCCTGCTCCYGCTCCATGGTGTCCAGGTGCCTTCTCAGACAACCTCCTGCCTGAGGTCGTCTGAACCTGAACCTCCCGTCTCCCCTCCTGGCAGGATCCTGCCCATGCCACCTGCCACATGAGGGGGTCTCTCTGCCACTATTAGTTTTGCTGCAAGCTCTCGTGGCATCTGCCACCCACCTGGCGACCACATGAGGAAATGGGCAAGCARATGGCACAGCTAAGCCCCCCATCAGCCAGCTCCTCCCCAAGACCCCTGTCTGCGTGGCACACCCTGGGGCAGCAGCAAAGGGTCAGTATGAACCTTCAGTCAAACTATCCCAAGTGCAAGACCACCCAGCCCTCCCCAGCACACCCTCAGGCTTACTGAGCACAAGCAGGGGCGCCGTTGACCTCGATGAGCCAGACCTTCAGCTCCTCGTCCACCATGAAGTCGAAGCCAAAGAGCTGGAAGCTCTGGTAGGGCAGGTGTTTGGTGCTGATGGCTGGCTCCACACTCAGGAGGCAGCTCCTGCAGGGAGAGGAGGGGAGCTTGCTGAACGGCGGGTGGGTGCGTGGAGGAGTGACTGTCAGCTGCATATGAACATCAGCTTCAACCGAACCCTCCCTTCAACACTGACCCAAGAGGTCACCCAGAGCAGGCTACTCAGCAGGCAGGTTGCTGGAATCTGCACCCATGTTCTCCAGGCAAAGGCTGCTGTCCCAGGCCTGGTAGGCAGCTCAGCACAAGGCACTGATGCCTCTGCAACTGCAGATGTCACCAACTGGGGATGCCGCCACATGTGTCCTGTACTTCCATCTGTAAAATATGAATCTCCTTTGTTGGAGATTTGCAGATTTTCAACATTTGCAGAAAGAAGGCTGGCCTYATTCATTTCTTTTGCTAGCTCTGGTTCTACAGCCCAATTATTGCTAATTAAAGGATTTCAGAGCTGTCCACATTAACACTAAATGCTGAGATACAGCACTGAGTTACTATCAGCATCAACTACTATTTGAAAATACTAATGGATTTCAGAGACTCAGAAAGAAGTTGAAAGTGAATCTCAGGAACATGAGTCTGCAGTCAGGCTATAATGTGGGACAAGTTCTTTTACATTTTTGTTGTCATTGCTGTGGTATCAGGGACTGAACCCCAGGGCACTCGACCACTGGGTTCCACGCCCAGCCCTTTTTATCTTTTATTTTGAGGCAGGATCTTGCTCAGTTGCCCAGGTTGGCCTTGAAYTTGCAATCCTCCTGCCTCAGCCTCCTGAGTCGCTGGGATCACAGGTGTGTGCTACTACACCTGGTATGTTCTTAAYCTTTCTAAGCCAAACGTTGATTTCCTTACCTATGACATAAGGAAAATACCACCTACACCTACTGTTGAGAGTTCACTGAGATAATGCTCTAAGGAACCTGGCCCAACTCTGGTACCGACAATCCACTTAATAAAYGTTACTCTTAAGAACAGCACATTTCATTAACTCACCAATAGTAACAATAACACATTTATTATTTCTAGATGACACCGTCCTCTAGTACAAACATCCCAGGAACCTTCGGCTGTTCTGTTTTATGAAGATCTTTCTGACTTTTTTCCCTCCRCTGGATGTGGCAAAATGTTTACCCTAGTAAATAAAATGTGACTCTGGTATCACCAGAGACAACCGTCCTTCCATCAGCTGTAGGTTTAGAAGGGAAGGGGCTTCCTCGTGACCAACTTTAAGATACACCCTCACATGACTTCAAGAGGAACTGAGGCCTTGAACGCAGGCCAGGTCTTATCCCCAGCCCTCCTCCAACAGCCACCCCCAATTTCTATCTTCTTTTATTTCTTTCTCACCCAAAGAGARAACTGTTTCTACAGATGTTTAAACCTTTGAAATCCATTTTGGGAAGGTTAGCCATCCACCTTTTTTTTTTTTTTTTTTCCTTTTCCTGGTACCAGGGATTGAACCAGAGGGGCTTAACCACTGAGCCACATCCCAGCCGTTTTTAAGTTTTATTTTGAGACAGGGTCTTGCTAAATTGCTCAGGGCCTCGCTAAGCTGCTGAGGCTGGCTTTGAACTTGTGAACCTCTTGCCTCAGCTCCAGAGTCATTGGTATCACAGGCATGTGCCACCACGCCCTAGCCATGAATTTTTAACCCAGGCTGGCAAATCGCACATCACATTTTAAAACATAATGGCCGGGGCATGATGGGGCACACTCACTGTCCCAGCTATTCGGGAGGCCTAGGCTGGAGGATCAGTTAACCTGGGAATTTTGAGACCAGCCCGGGCAACACAGTGAGATGCTGCTTCAAAACAAATCTTATCTCTGCTCTAGGAGAGAAGACCCAAAGATATTTTAATGAAAATAGCCTTTAAAATGTTATAATTAAGAAAAGTTCAATAGATGAGAGAGACCAACAATTGAGAAGCATAAAAAGTAAAAACAGTATTACACTCTCCAAGGAAAGGAAAAACGGAGCCAGAGCCAAACCAAAGCGAAACCTTGGACTTCATCTGCTGGGAGCTCCAGATGGATGGTTGGTGAATCGCAGTTTTTCATCCTCAGACTCTGCATCTTTTTTGGCTAGAGTGGGCAGGCAGGGGAGGGTGACTAAGGAGAGAACCTGAGAGCGGTGCGGGGGATGCTCCGCAGCATGCAGGTGGGGGGCAGCCAGGGGGACGGGGAGGGGGTGGGTGGGAATGCTGTTCAGAGCACCTGGGAGCAGCACTCCCTGAAAAGCAGGAGCAGCCAGGAAGGGCCCTTGTGCTTCCACACACCCCCTGACTAAACAGGAATCCTCCCCCCTGCACAGCTTACTTATCTGGTATCAGAATTTTAATCATCTATAATCCCTGGAAAAAAAATTGGGACTCCAAGCCCTGAATTCCTCTGCGGTACTCTGTAAGAAGACATCAAGGGAAGTCTCGGGCACTGCGACAGGGCGGCAGTGACAAGGCAGATGAACAGACTAAAATATAAGGGAGACCCCGGAACAGACCCTCCGGCAACTGGCCCTGACTGGTAACTCAGGGTCTGCRCAGGGCAATGGCAGGGGAAAATGGTCTTGGCTCCCTAAGATATCCTTGTGGAAAAGCAAGAAGCCTAATATAGAACAATCCCAGGGAGATTGTAGGTCTAAAATATAAGAAGTCAAACCCAGAAGCCTGTCAGTTATASAAGGATAAACTCTGGGATATTCACATGGTGGAATATTAATTACACAGCAGTAAAGAAGGACCAACTACTGCTCTGTGCAGCAGTGTGGGCAACACCACACCACAGGCTACATATAGTCTCTATTGCATAACAGAGTCAAACACCAATGAGCTAATACAGAGACCATGTAGCACTCCATTCACATAAGGTTTAAGAACAAGCAAAAAGGAACCTATGGCGACAAAAGTCAGAAGAGTGGCTACCTTTGGCAGAGWGTACATCATTTTTTAAGGGGGTTCAGAGGTGCTATAAATGATTTAGATCTTTTTTTTTTTTTTTTTAAAGAGAGAGTGAGAGAGGAAGAGAGAGAGAGAGAGAGAATTTTTTAATATTTATTTTTTTAGTTCTCGGCGGTCACAACATCTTTGTTGGTATGTGGTGCTGAGGATCGAACTTGGGCCGCACGCATGCCAGGTGAGCGCGCTACCGCTTGAGCCACATCCCCAGCCCTGATTTAGATCTTAATTTGCATCATGGTTCAGAAAGTGTGTGCATAATTAAAAACTTACAAATAGCACACTTCATTCATGTTAAACTTCGTTTAAAAAATTCCTTGACTGGATTTAGTAAACATTTGTAATAAATTAGTACTAAAAAATTATTTCGAGACATATTAAGAAATAGACCAAGAGAAAAAAAAATAGATACAGACCTAGACATCAGGGGCAGGCAGATGTTTTTTACAAAGGACCCAACAGTAAATATCTTAGGTTTTGCAGGCTACATATAGTCTCTGTTGCATAAGCTTTTCTGTCTCCTTTTTCTTCCTCTCTTTCTTTTACAATCCTTAAAGTTTTTATTTATTTATGTGGCACTTGGGATAAAATCCAGAACTGCTCTACCACTGTGCTGTACCCACAACCCTTTTTATTTTTTATTTTGAGACAGAGTCTTGCTAAGTTGCTAGGTTGTCCTGGAACTTGCCATCCATCTGCCTCGTGTAGCTGGGATTATAGATGTGCACCATCCTGCCCGACTACACCATTTAAAAAATAATTCAAAAAACATTCTTAGCTCATAGACCTTAAGAAAATAGGCATTTAGCCAGGTCCAGYCCCCAGGGCACAGGCACTAGCCAGGGGTAGTCCAGATTTTGTAGTTATCAGACAAGGATGTTAAAGAATTGCCAATGACAAATTMAAAAAAATAAGAGAGAAGTGGGAGCATCTCATGAGAACTGTAGCTTGAAAGAAAAGAAGCAAACCTTAGAACTAAGCCCAAAAACGAGAGGCGTGAACTCAACAGGGGAGACTAACAGCAGATTCCGAAAGCTTTTAACTCTTTAAAATGTCTTGACAGGTTTCGGTAGCAAACAAAGACTGGGAGAAAAGCAGGAGTGGGACCGTCAGGAGAGAAAGTGGCACAGGAAAGCCAYAGGAGTGAGACGCCAGAGCAGGAACAGGAACAGGAAAATCACACATGGGTCTCAGCAAAATCCATAAAAATCAGCAAAGAGGAAACACAAAAGCAGAAAGACGGCGACAAGAGCAGCACTGTGCTTCCTGCTGGCTTCTCAGAAGAAGGATCAAAGCCAAGTGACGATGACATGCCACCTTCAAACTGGACATGGATTTCCAGAGAAAAATGKCCTCAAACAACAGACGAAAGACAGCATCATCATAACAACTGAGATAATCCATCACAAGCAGACCTTACTTTTTAAGTGCTAAAACAACCAGGCACAATGGCACACGCCTGTAATCCTAGCAAYTTAGGAGGCTGAGGCATGAGGTGAAAGAACGATCAAGGCTTRCTGTCGGAAAAAATGCCCATTTATTGAGGAACAGCTCTGCATATTTATAGAGCCGGGGGTGGTTTGATAGTTGGCATGGGGTGCTTTTTTATTGGTGACTAAGGATCAGGTGAGCAGCAGGGCTAGTCTGATTGGTGGGTAAGGATCAGGTGAGCCAGCAGGGCTAATCTGATTGGTGGGTAAGGATCAGGTGAGCCAGCAGGGCTCACCATTGGACGGCTCTTCTTGGGGGATGGGGAAGTTAGTCTTTGGAGCCGGGGCGACTCCCAACATGAGGACCACAAGTTCAAGGCCAGCCTCAGCAACTTAGCCAGACCCTGTCTCAAAAATAGACAGGGTGGGGGTGTGGCTCAGTGGTAAAGCACCCCTGGGTTCAAGCCCAGCACCTAAAAAAAAAAATTCATATGTATGGATGTGTGTGAAACTGATGAACACCCAGTGCTCCTCCCAGTGTCTTAGCCCCTGCCTCCCGGCCAGAGGAAACTGCGGCCCTCATTGACTTTGCTCTGCATTCCTGGTTTCTCCTCCTGCTTCTGCCAGACCCACACAGTCCTCTACATAATACAGCAGGGCTGCCTGCTCAATGCATGCTCTTCAGCTCRTTCCAAAGGGATCAGTCTATGTGCATCTTGCACCYAGCTTGTACTTCTGGCTTCACATTATGTTTGTGTAAATCTCATAAAAATATCCTTCAGGAATAAGCTGAAATAAACACATTCTCAGATGATGGGAAACTAGGATTTATCACCAGCAAAACTGCTTCAAAAGTCTGAAGGAAAATTATGTCAGAGAAGAATTCAGAACTGAAGGAAGAGCAAAAGAAATGGGAAGAGTCTGAGGMAACARAAAAGAATAYTTCCTCCTCTTATCTGGATTTATAYATAGTTTCACTTATATAAAAATTCAACCTGAAAATCTAACACATCTGGAAATACATATAACTGTTGATAGCAAATAACATGCGCAGTAGATTTCAGTAAAGCAGATGTAAAAAACGTGAAAATCACAATAGAGGGCARAGTTACTAAACTGGAAGTTTATTTGAAGTGGTGAATTACTGATTCTAGAAAGGCTGTGAAATATTAGGTATGTAGTWAATCCTTAAATCAGCCACTAAACAAGACAAAACAAAACAAAAAACCAAAGAGAGAGAGCCAGCCAGGCGTGGTGACACACGCCTGTGATCCCAGTGGCTCGGGAGGCTGAGGCAGAAGGATCACAAGTTCAAAGGCCACCTCAGCAACTCAGCAAGACCCTGTCTCTGAATAAAACATAAAGAGGGGAATGTGGCTCAGTGGTTAAGCATCCCTGGGTTCAACTCCTGGTACAGAAGAGGGAGACAGACAGCCAAACACTCAGCAGAAAAATTAAAATGAAATTTTAAAATCACATACAAATAATTCAAAAGAAAGCAGGAAAAGGAGAGGTTAAAAAAAGACAAGACAAACAGACAATAGGTGATAAGATGGTAAATGTGCTCCCAACCAAATCAATAATTACATTGTTTCAAAGGTATCAACTAATTAAAAGAGTATCATATTAGAGTAAGATTWAAAAAAAAAAGCAGCCAGGTGAAAGTTCAAAGCCAGCCTCAGCAACAGTGAGGCACTAAGCAATTCAGTGAGACCCTGACTCAAAATAAAATACAACATAGGGCTGGGGATGTGGCTCAGTGGCCAAGTGTCCCCAAGTTCAATCCTTGGTACCAAAAAAAAAAAAAGATTGAAAACTCAACCATATATAGAAAATAAAGGTAAAAATAAAGGAGTGAGATGAAACACACCACGGAAACATGAATCAGAAGAAAGCAGGCGGCCGTGACCCAAATCAGAGAGAATAAACAAGGACCCCCGGAGACACAGACAGTTACACACTGACAAATGGCCAGTTCAAAAAGGGACAGTCCTAAACACAGGTGCACCTAACAACAGAGCCCAAGACAGATGAAGAAAACCCAGAACAGTTGAAAGGAGGTACCAGCCAACACAGGACCTCGCCCAGGACGCCAACACTCCTGCTTGTGACGAGGATCGGAACAGGCAGGGCAGTCAGCAAGGAGGGGGGACTCAGGCAACATCCTCAGCTTACTGGGGAACTCACCCAGGGACAGCACCGCACGCCTCTCAGTGCACTGTGACCGGCCACACTCTGGGCCACAGAACCAATCTCAACAAAATTTTAAAAAATGAAACCATATTTCAGGTATGTCCCTGTGACCATAATGGAATTACTAGGGAATCCTCAAATATCTGGATATTAAGACCAAATTTTTTAAGTCTCACGTGAGTCAAGGATGAAGTCACAGGGGAAATTTAAAAATATTTCAGTACAAATAATAGAATAAGAACAGAACATCAGTAGGATGCAGCTAATGCAGAAGCGGGAAGAAAACTGTAGGCACCAAATGGTGGTGGTTGTTTTTTTAAAAAGAAATCTCTCCATTCAATGATCTAAACATTCACCTTAAGAAACAAAAGAAGAGGAAATTAATTCCCCCTGAGAAGCCAAAATGAAAAAAGCATAAATCAAAGAAATTGGAAAAAATAGAGAAAAATCCATAGTCAAAAGCTATTTTTTTGAAAAATTAACCCTCTAGCCAATCCCTCCAAGTAGAGAGGAAATATAAATGATCAATATCTGGAGTGAAAAAAGGGACATCATTACAGGTCCTACAGGTATTAAAATGAAAATTATCATCACCAATGACTTTTGCCCATAAATTAGACAACCTAAGTGGAACGATTCTTTCAGCAGCATGAACACTCAAGGCTGCTGGGAAAAAACTGAGAAGGCGCGGGGCGTTACCTGATGATATGTTTGATCTGTTGTAAGATACTGCTCTCCAAGGTGATGTTCAGAGCACTCGTCAGGTACTGGTTGAACTCCTCGAAGAACATCTCGTTCCCTTCCTCGTACTTGCCGTAATTCTTGGAGTACTCCTTCTGAATGCAGTGGTTGGTCAAGTGGCAGGTCTTGTCTTGGAAGTCGTCAACGTGATACGGCTCGGACGCAGTGCGGAGCACACCCTCCCGGTAGAGGTAGATGTTATACTCGTGGTCCACCAAGACCCAGCTTCTGCAATCAACACAAGCACTGTTATCCGGGTTCCGCTCAGCCTCTCACGCAGTAGGTGCACGCAGCATTTGGAGCAAAACCGTAGGCATCGGCTATCTCTCTATGGTGTGTGAGGTGGGCAAGTGGGAGCAAGGTGGGTTCTGGAGTTATATAAGGCAAACTGTGAGTTAGCCACAATGGTGGGTCATCACCATAAACAACGACGTGGAGACTTGAATCCATTAAAAAGACAGCATTTTGCAAAGATCTGGGTAGATTTTGAGGATACCCTATAAAGCCTYGCTTTGCCCCTTCGGTGTTTACAGAGGACCAGGGCTCCTCAGGAAGCTGATCCAACTCCGGCTGATGTCTGAGAAGCAGCAAGTCATTGTGAAGGCCTCAGGGAGACAAGAGCTGAAGGCAAGGTCAAGGGCAAGCTGGGGAGAGGCCGTTTGGCTCTAGAAAGCACCACATCAATTCTTCCTGCATGACAGGCCCTTGCTCAGAAACTGAGAATCCAGGTATGCACATGACATTCGTAAAAAGCATGACACCAATAATGAAGTGGGGACCAACAGCTTGGCAGCGTCACAGTGCACTGTGTCTGGATTGTGGGTCCCACGTACCTCTCTCAGCTTCCTCCACAAGGAGGCCCCGTGCACTTATACTCCTCTCTGCACCCACAAGCCCCTTCCTAACAGAGAATGCATTCAAAAAAATAAAACCCATCACCTTAGTGACGTTTCCTAGAAAGAAGAAATACTAAAGTAGAAAATTCAGTAGAGCTCGGTTCCCTTCTTCTGCATTCAATAAAACACCTGCTCATATTGCACGTCCCACCTCCCACCAGACCCTGRACCCCCTCCCGTTCCCTCCAGGTGGAGGAAAACAAGATGCGGACCCCAAAGCATTACCGAATGTCGAACTTGCGGTGACCCGGCTCRAGAAGCAGAGGGTGCTCAAGGTACTTCTGGATCACGTGCACTTGGCCCTGGTTGTCTATGAAATCCAGAAGCTCGGAAGCCTCAGAGGAGATGAGGATGCCTTCGCCTGGCAGAGAAGAAGACACACCCCGGTGCAGCTCAGGCCAAGGGCAAGGGGCTCCCCAGAGCCAGAGACAGACCCCGCAGAAGGAGGCTCTCGCTGGCCTGCTCACGGGTCCCCTCCCTCCCTTCCCTCCTGCAGGCCCCTCCCTCTCCCCTGTCCCCATGAGAGCACCTGGCGTTACCCAACTGACTCTTGGGCCACATAGGTTCTCATCACCATACTGGCAGGTTCCAATGTAACATTTTAGTTTTACAGACACCCACACTGTTTAAACCCTTGAACCAAAGGTCATGTACTCCAGGTCAGTGGCCACCATAAAGACTATAGCGCATATGACCAATAAATTCACTTCTAACACTACCTTACAGAAATATCAGAAAGGTAGAGGCATAAATGCAAATGTGTAGGGATGTTCTTGTGGCATAGCAATAAAAAAATGGATACGCTTAAATTGTTCCTACACATCAAACAAGTGATACAATATGTCCTTTTGAACAGTTTAATTAAGATGTAACCTATCATAAWATTCACCCATTATTTTTCTTTTTTTGGTACAGGGGATTGAACCCAAGGGCACTTAACCACTGAGGTGTGGCTCAGTGGTAGAGCATCCCAGGTTCAGTCCCTAGTTCAGCTAAAACAAAATGGTATACAAATAGAGTCATCCAGGATGTGCTCCTGCAGGACCAGCTTTCTCCACTTGGCATCATTCCCTGGTTCCGTCGCTGCTGGGCAGACTTCTGTGGTATCAACTGTCCTGTTTTATCATTCACCTGTTGAAGGACATCTGCATCRTTTCTAGTTTGAGCCTCAAACAAAGCTTCGATGAAGAATCGCACACAGGCTGTCGTGGGAACCTGAGTTTAAACCTCTCCAGGACACGGGCCKGGAGTGTGCCAATACTGGGTGGCACGGTAGTTGCAGGTTCAAGCTTGTTTAGTTTTGGATTTTCTTTTTGCTTTTTTGTCATTGTTGTTGCTATGTCACCCAGGCTGGCCTCAAACTGCTGGGCTCAAGTGATCCTCCTTCTACCCTTGCYGAGTGCCAGAGCTCAGGTGCTCCTCACTGTGCCCAGATCTAATGCTTACTGTATAAGAAACTGCCAAGTTTTTTGGCTCTTTTTATCCACCCAGAGAGGCTGTGCCACTTCACATTCCAACTAGCAAGGTTGAGTGCTCCAGCTGTCCCAGAGACTGGCAACCTATCGCTATAATTAATACTTATTTTAGCCACTTCAATAGGAATAAAGTGACAGCTCGTGGTTTTAATTTACATTTTTCTAATAGTTAATCATTTGGAGAAATCTTTTCCTTTGCTTATCTTCTGCCTGCGTAGCCTCTTCAATGAAAAGTATGCCCACATTCTTCTGGCCCATCTTCTCATCAGATGGGGTGTCTGCTGTTGGCTGCTGGTTTTGAAAGTCATTTACATTTTCCAGACCTGGGTCCCCTGTCATGTACAGGAGTTACAAATCCTTTCTTCCATCTGTAACTTGTCTTTTTGTCCTTTTAAAGATGTATTTTACAGAGCAAAAGTGATATTTTGATGAGTTTCAATTACTTAATTTTTGCTTTTGTGGACTGTACCTATGGCAACAAGTTGAAGAACTTTTTGCCACACTATGGTGGCGCACCTGTCATCCCAGTGGCTCGGGAGGCTGAGGCAGGAGGATCATGAGTTCAAGGTCAGCCTCAGCAACTTAGTGAGGCCCTATGCAACTCAGAGAGACCCTGTCTCTAAATAAAATACAAAAAAGGGCTGGAGATGTAGCTTAGTGGTTGAGCGCCTCTGGATTCAATCCCCAGTCCCCTCCCCCCACCACACCCACTCCCCMAAAGGAATTCTTTGCCAAGTGCTACCTGCTATTCTCCATCCAAAATATTTAATTTAACATTTAATTCCATGATCCATTTTGAGTTAGTTTTTTACATTAATTAAGTTAGTCAAGGGGTGAGGTTTGTTGAGGCGAGTTTGGGTTGATTATTTTTGCCTATGGATATCCACCTTGTCTGGCTGCATTTGTTGAAAAGCTTCTCCTTCTATTGAATGGCTTTGGGATCTCTGTCAAAACTCGGTGGGCATTTGTACTTGGTCTACTCCTGAGCTCTCTGTCCTGCTCCACTGATTGCATTTCTATTCCTTCGCCAACGCAGCAGGACACTGAGTGCCCCCCACCTCCCCCGGCACTGAGCACCCCAGGGCACTGAGCACCMCAGCTTCACACCTTGACATTGGTCACAGTGATGACTTCTAGTCATTCTTCTTTTACAAGATTGTTGACGCTATCCTAGGGCCTGTGTGCTTCCTTATGAATCTTTATGCCCATTTTGCTGATGTCCCAGTGGAGTGACAGTAACCCTGCAGACATCTTTACTATGTGGAGTTCTGAGATCCATGAACAGTCCRTCTGCTCATTTTTTTTTCCATAAATATTTATTGAGTGCTTTCCACACAATAGGGAGTGCTCGAGACTTCGTACAACTGTGGAACACACGCATGCACACACCACCACCACAATCAACAACAGTCTATTCATCTTAATCTGGCATCTGTGGGAAAAATTCAAAGATATTTTTCAGATATTTCAACASAGAAAAGGGTAACTGCTGACATCTTACTATGTAAATCTATTCCTAACATATCAAATTTTCCAGGAATAAGAATTTTTGYTTATCAAAATTTCCTGTGCATGCAAAGTAGTCCATCGAATAAGGCACCACATCTCTCGTAATCTTAATGTCAGCATAAGACCTAGAATTTCTGTTGGCTTCATGGTTTTGGCAGTGAGGATGCCTATAGAGGATTGGCTGGTATTCTAGTCAACTCAACTGCCCTGTCAGCGTCTTCAGGACTACASCGAGCCTTCCTCAACTCAGTTGCAGGATCCAAGCCTTCAAGATAGTGGCCCAAGCTTTATGCCTTCTCTGAAATTTAAAAGGATTGACTGATGTATAACCATAGTACAATGAGTCCTCTTTAAGTGAACTGGAAATACGCACACTTTCCGTCAGCTCATTTTTTTTTTTAAGCATTCAGAACCTATAGATGTTTTGTCAAATTGAGACCCAAGCACCTCATTTTCTCTGAGGTAACTGTAAATGATACAGTTTTAGTTTCGGTTTCCACACAATTGTCTTTTTGTGTGTGGATCTCATAGACTGTACATTGCTGAGCTCACTCACTGGGGCCCTCCCACCAGTCCTTGGATTCATAGCTCATCTCCATGTGGATCTGATACCTTCAGTACACACGAATGCCATTTGTTCATTAATTCCGTGACCCATCTTTCCTCAGAGCACCCCATTCTTGACTGCCTGTTTCTGTCACTAGTCCCCCCATTTGGTTGGGCTCTTGGAAACTGCAAAGCAACATGGAAAGTGCCCTTCTTCTCTTTTGCAACCGTGACTCTGTCACACCTCCCTCAGGAACCACACACGGACTTGCTGGTTCCAATTTCGTTCCAGCTACCAGTTCTCAAGTTCAGGCTTCATGCTCCGTCCTCTGTACCTGCCAGCAAACCTCCTCCAGAGTGAGCACCCCAATGCGCTTCCCTGACCGTCCTGCAGATGCTCTGCGGCACAGGGTAGCCCCCTTCCCTCCCATCAGCTCCAACCTTGTTTTCCTTGTGYAATTTCCTTATGGAAATTATTTCTTATTGAAAACCAATATACTTAAYGCTGGCAGATAAGGAAAAAATAGTGGGGGAAAGGGAAGGAGTTCAGTAGATATATTTTTGTAAGTTTTATAACTTTTAACAAAAAAATTGAAAAGCTAACCATATTTTATTCTAATTAATTAATTTTATTTTTTCATATCACCTTCCTGTGCACCTGGACAGAGCCTGGTCAGTCACAGGGAACTCATGGCAGATTCTTTTTCACTTTATGTTATCAGTATTTCCACTGTTCTATGTGAACTTCACACTTATGTTAATAGCTCTAAAGAATCCCATTGTGCGGAAATAAAAAAAAAAATACACACACACTTGTTTATTGACTTAGACAATGGATTTGTTTCTAAAAAATATTTATTTTGGTATTACAGATAACAGAGTAGTAAATGTCTGCAGCAGACGAAATATTTCTTTTTTTGAATATTTTTTTAGTTATACATGGGCACAATATCTTTATTTTTGTTTATTTATTTTTATGAGGTTCTGAAGATCGAACCCAGGGTCTCACACATGAGAGGCAAGTGCTCTACCGCTGAGCCACAACCCCAGCCCATGAAATATTTCTTGGAGTAGACTTTCAGAATGAGATGACTGGGACTAATTATGGGAAGTCCTTATGGCCCTGAGGGGGTTCCATGCTTTTTCAATAAGCTGTGGATTCTCACCAGCAGAGCAGTTCACTACCAACTTTCAGCAACAGTGTCACTAACACTTTGTTTTGTTTTTTTTTTTTTTTTTTTTTTTATTTTGCAGCTGTAAAATGGTACATAAAATTTAAATTTATTTAGTAATTTTTGGATACTGGTGTAGCATGTTTCTATGGGTTTTTTACCTGCATTTACTGCATTTCTTTTTTTGGCGGGGGGAGGCAGAGGCAGGGGACCAGGGATTGAACTCAGGGGCACTCAATCACTGAGCCCCATCCCCAGCTCGATTTTGTATTTTATTTAGAGACAGGGTCTCACTGAGCTGCTGAGGCTAGTTTTGAATTTGTGATCTTCCTGCCCCAGCTTCCAGAGCCACAAGGATCTTTGAGAAGCTTCATAGTCATGGTCCCTGCCCACCTGACCCATTCCTATTTCAAATTCTGGAAATAGATGCCTCACTAACCTTCTTGTTGACTAGACTTTGGGTCCTTGAGGGCAAAAAGCCACATGTGCCTCGTCCACCTCCTTATTCCTGCATGTCCAAGCACTCTTGTACTCGGTGCAGATCCTGAACCTTTGCTGGATGCCAGCTCCTGTCCTAGCAGGGGCAGACAGTGCCGGGCACAGACGAGACACCGTCTGAGGTGGGCTTTAATAGTCTCTCTGTCTGGGAAGTTCCATGTAAACGTTGGAGAATGGCCCGGAACAGGAGGACAGGGAGCAGAACTCCCAGAGAGATGTGAAGGTGACCTCGGATCAGAGGGCTGCTGGATGTGAAGCAGCTTCATACAGGACACGGTTTCAAGGCTGAGCCATGACACCAAGCACATGGTGGGTATTAAGAAGAACAGACACCATCTGTTCATCCTGTGATTCCTAAACAAAGCTAACACACACCACTCACCTCCTCAACTCACAGCAAAAGTCCTTTGACGGACGTTTTATCCCCTCTTTACCTCTCCCTGCTGCATGGTGTCCCTCTGTCTGGTCTTAGAGAGGGTCAAGGGACCATCAGAGGTCCTCCCAGTGGCCATCCTAACTCCAAGTTCAAATCCACAGGAGGAATCTGGAATACCAWGGATGACCATTTCCCCTTCCAAGTGCCCCCTTTACTGGGGACAGTACTCAAGAAGACAGTGCAAAGGAGTCAGAAAAGTGGGGGAGGCACCCACAGAGGCAAGAGCCCAATTCTCCCTCTTTCACGAGCCTCCAGGTGATGCCCACCTGCATCATGGTGGGTGGAAAGGAAGGGGAGGTCGGTTGGACCAGGGACAGGAGTGAGTACCAAGGGCCAGATGGTCTTCCAAAGAATAGGAAGTTCAAAATGGAATGGCTTTTAAAAGAGTATACGACAGTACTTACAGAGAGGCCACTGATGTGCCTGCTGCCTTGGAAGCTGCCTCTACTTTAAGCCTGAGTTGAAATCACAAACCTCAGCCCTCCGAGGCAGTCATTCAACACACACCACGGAGCGACTGCAAGGAGGGATGGAGACCAACAAGAGCTGTGGGTACGGGGTTTGTACTATGCTGGGGGAGACAGGCAGGTTATGTATTATAGAGCTGGATGGGGAGACAGGAAGTGATGGGCTAGAGGCTATTTAGACAGAAGAGGCTTCTCTGGCAAGGCAACAGCTGAGCTCAGAAACCAAATAATCCACGKCAGCACATCCAGGCCCCGAGACAAATTTAGAGCATCTGAGGGACATGAGGCCGTCTTTGTGGCTACAACACAGTGAGCAAGGCCCAGAATAGAAGGAGGTGAGATCAGAGATATGGGGACATGTGCAGTGGCGTGGGCAGCCATCAGGGACCTGGAATGACTGTGATTGCATTAGGAAGCCAGCTGGTAAGTCAGGAAGTGACCTGATCAGATTTACGTTTGTGAAACATCCCTCTGTCTGGGGGAACCGGCTGTGGATGGGCACTGCGATTAGAGCCTGGGAGGATGGCGGCTTTGAGTTAGGGTGGGAACAGTGGAAATGGCAAGAAGAAGCCTGATCCAGAGTCCAAACTGAAGGTTGCACCAGCAAGACTTAACGCTTTAGGTTTAGATATCAAGGGTGAAGCTGGCTCTGGGGCTCTTGGGACAAACACCAAGAAGACGGGACAAAAGAGGAGCAGGCTGGGAGGGCGGAGCTGGGCAGGACAGGAGGAGTTCTGTATCAGACAAGTTGGAAATGCCACTTAGAGATGGAGAGGGTGACACGGCATCAGGAGCTTCAAGGGAAGTCCTGGAGCAGAGAGAGGATTTAGAAGGCACTACCACACAAACGGGCATTTAAAACAAGATGTGGTCCATGGGCCCTGAGTTCAGATCTGATCCACCTGAGTGTGTCATTAGAATCTCAAGTGCCAGTACAGAGGAACAGAGGGGACGGCCAGGCCAACTCACCTTTGGCGCCTGCTGATGACTTTGCAATCCACACGTTGCCCTCCCCGTCCTCTTTCTTTCTGTTATAGGAAGCCAGGAAGAACTCTCTCTCATCCGTCCTGGAGTTATTGACGGGTGGCTGAATTCCATTCTGTGCTGGAGCAACTGGGGTCTTGAGATTAGTTGGGTAAATCACATAGGACTCGGGGAACCAGGTGCAGGACTCAGCCAGCTCTGGGCTTGTCTTGATCAGCCTAGCAGAGGACAGAGGGTCAGGCTCCTTTCTGAGTGCCCGCTGTCACCCTGTACAGAAAAGACACTGCGTTCCCTTCAGGGGTTTCCAAGGAGTCAAGCCATGGCCTGGTCTCCTCCTTTCCCCTCCGCTTCCTCTCGGCCTCCCTGGACAGACCTCTACCATGCTGCAGCTACTACATGCAATAGTAAAGGCATGCCCGGTGCATCCACAGGACCTCCTGCCGGCCAGGTGCAGTGCCACACACCTATAAGCCCAGCTACCCAGAAGGCTAAGGCAGGAGGAGAAAAAGTCCAAATCCAGCGTGGACAACTGGTCAAACACAAAATAAAAAGGGCTGAGTTTATAGCTCAGCCTCAGAGGACCTGCCTAGTCCTGGGTTCAATCCCAAATATGGGGGAGGAGGCTTACTGCCCAGAACTTGAGCAGTAAAGGGATTTCTAAGGACACCCAACTTGACCTAACTCTGAATAAAACACCTTTTCAACAAACAGGTTGGGACTGAGCCAAACCAAAAAATGAAGTGGGGGACAGAAAAAAAAGTCAAACAACTAGTAAAATTACTGTCTTGGCCTCCGTCTCTACTTGGGACTCTGAATAGCTAAAGACGATTTTTAAGTCCTTTATTTCCTGCTTTTAGCTCAGCCTCACTTCAGTGACAGAATAAAGAAGGAATCCTTCTAATGGGGCACAGGACAGGGGACACAATGAAACATGCCTCTCAGTCCCAAAATAACACACCACCACAGAAGATAAAGGCCCGCCCTGGGCAAGGCCCTGAACAGACACAGGGTCTTACCAAGAGCTTCCCACTGCCGGCTTCCCAGGTCAGAGGCACCAGGATCCACTTCACAAAAGAGGAACTGGGTCTCAGAGGAGTCCCCTCCCGAGAGCAGCAAGTAGCCAGCACCAGGCAGGACACAAGCCTAAACCGCCCAGCCTTCCCCTAGCCCAGGAACCAGGGCACAGAGGCCTCCCTAAACCGCGCCTCCTTCTGTCTACAACAACTGTTCCTGTTCAGCCTATATTATGATTCACCTACAAAACCCGGCCTGTGAGCAAACAGCAGAAATAATGAAAAGAACAGTTAAATTGGGCTGGAGATGTGGCTCAAGCGGTAGCGYGCTCGCCTGGCATGCGTGCGGCCCGGGTTCGAGCCTCAGCACCACATACCAACAAAGATGTTGTGTCCGCAGAGAACTAGAAAATAAATATTAAAAAAAAATTCTCTCTCTCTCTCTCCYCTCACTCTCTCTYWWWAAAAAAAAAAAAAAAAAGAACAGTTAAATTAACATTAAAAACAAAGTCATTCTAGCCAGGTGCAGTGGTGCACCCCTGTAATCCCAGCAGCTCAGGAGGCTGAGGCAGGAGGATCGCAAGTTCAAAGCCAGCCTCAGCAAAAGTGAGGTGCTAAGCAACTCAGTGAGACCCTGTCTCTAAATAAAATACAGAATAGGGTTGGGGATATGACTCAGTGGCTGAGTGCCCTTGAGTTCAATCCCTGGTACATAATAAATAAATAAATAGATAGATAGATAGATAGATAAAGTAATTTTAAAGTTAAAGGCAACAGAAGTTGTAAGTTACTTGAACCCAAAGGAACAAAAATGATAAAAATAAATACATACACTCACCGAATACTCAAGTCTGAAACTACACTGTCCTGTAAGGTGGCCACTAGCATTTGAAATGTGAGCGGCGTGACTCAGGAACAGAATTAAAAATTGCATTTAATTTTAATTTAAAAATGGATGCATCATAAAGTATTTTTCCATTAAGCAGCACTTTGCTGAGGTGGCAGGATGACATTTCCCTTGACTAAACTGCTGTGTGCATGTCGGGCCCATGTGTCACTCCTAGTATCACACACACACACACACACACACACACACACACACACAACACTGCTCTGTTCAGGGACAATGGACCTACTCAGTTGAAGTGACTTTCCTCTGTGCACTGATGAGACGTGACCATGTGCTAATGACACAGACAGCAGGAGCTACTGTGCAAAGGACAATCAGTAACTAAGGGGCAATTAATTTTCTAAATAAAAATTATTATTTGTTTAACTAAAAATAAGTATGGACTAATTTTTAAATTTAAAGCAAAAGCATTCTTCTGATGCAAAACTGAGCAGGGACCCCAAAGGCAGAACAATGACCAGGACAGTGAAGACAAAGGACTGGAAGCAGGTGTGACAAATTCACAATGGATGGCCACTATACCAGGCTATGGCACAGTCAAGTGAAAAGCAGTTTGCTTTGCTAGGGAGACATTTTCAGCAAACAAATAATGAATTTGATGAACATYTTTCTCTCAATAGTCAAAATAGAATATTAGTGGCAAAAGTCATAAATATGCAACAAAAAAAATTTTTTTTTCAACAATTAAAAAAATTTTTTTGTACTAAGGATGGAACCCAGGGGTGCTTACCCACTGAGCCACATCCCCAGCCCTTTTTATATTTTATTTAGAGATGGGGTCTCACTGAGTTGCTTAGGGCCTGCTAAGTTACTGAGGCTGGCTTTGAACTTGTGATCCTCCTGCCGAAGTCTCCCCAGCTGTTAGGATTATAGACGTGTGCCACCGTGCCTGGCTTCAATTAAAAAAAAAAAAAAAAAAGTTAAGAATATATATAAGGCCTCTACTGAGCTACATACATCCCAGTCCCTGAAACTTTTTAAAAAATATKTATTTATTTATTTTTTAGGTGTAGATGGACACAGCATGAGGCTCTGAGCTTATAACTTCAGTCAAGTATAAAATGGCCTGGATTCTAACACAAAAGGAAAACCACTTTAGACAGAAATATGGTGAGAGAAATTATTTTAAGGCAAAGTTTTAAAAGATATTTTATGAAAGTAAAATATCTTCAGGTCAGCCAGAATTGGCCACAGATAACAAGCTCTTTCTAACAAATAATATCAAAGACTGACTCAAAATTTGAAAAAAAATTAAGCATTTTTCTTAGCTTTAGGTAAGTTGTGATGTGAGATGTTGCTAAATTAATGCTTTGGGCATGCTTACATTAAAGAGAAAAAAAAGAAACCAAACTGATGGTGCAAGTATTTTTGAATATTTTACATCTGTCAAAGAGCCACAGAAGGCTGGGGTTGTGGCTCAGTGGTAGAGTGCTTGCCTAGAACACGTGAGGCACCAGGTTCAAACCTCACCACCACATAAAAGTGAAATAAAGAAATTGTGTCCACCTATAACTAAAAAATGAATATTAAAAAAAAAGTCAAAGAATTTTACAACTAGATTGCTTTTTTTTTTTTTGGTACTGGGGATTGAACCCAGAGGCACTTACCCACTGAGCCACATACCCTGCTCCTTTTCTCTTTATTTTTTATTTTGAAATAGGGTTTTACTAAGTTGTTGAGGCTGGCCTCAAACTTTCAATCCTCCTGCAGCAAGTCACTAGGATTATAGGCATCCAACTGTTTCCTTTTTCACTTCATGCTACTGTATGATGCATCTAGAAAACATTTGTTTTCTCAGTTTTCTGAAGCAGACTCTATAAAAAGTATTGTGGATACAGTTGTTGAAATGGTTCAGAATATACTTGCAAATGTTACAATGATTCACCAGTTCATGGAACTGTTGAAAGAAATAGAAGACAAAGAATTTAATGATACCAAGCTCTCTGCCAATACTCTCTGTTTGATGATGTTTGAGATGAAAGAGTTTTATAAAGATTTACTGTACAATTATCTCTGATTCAAATATTCTTGATACAAAAYGAAKGCTTRACAAATCATTATATACAATCAACATGTCATTATTTAGTTCAAAAATCCAAGATTAAAAATGGCAGCATTATTTATATTACCCATATCCATGCTACACAGGAACAAGTTCAATTACAGTTCCAAGGCAGGGAAAAGACCTGGTTTTGATCCCCCTATGCAGGTACTATAATTCATGTTCCAACTTCATAGAACAAGTTAATAATAATGATTTTACATGTTTTTATTACATGACAAGATGCAGGTTTCAATTATAATAGTATTATAAAAACTGGCTTCAAGGCTGGGGTTGTGGTTCAGAGGTAGAGAGCTTGCCTGGCATGCGTGAGGCACTGAGTTCGATCCTTAGCACCACATAAAAATAAAATGAAACTATTGTGTTCACCTATAACCAAAAAATAAATATTAAAAAATTATAAAACAAAACTGACTTCAAAATCAAAAAACAGAAAATTGAAGAAAACTTTGCTGATATTGATAAACTCTTCATTATATTCAATACCCCCTTTAAATCCAGTGTGACAATACTGAGCTGATGCAAGTTGGTGAATTTGCTCAACTGGGATAGACCTAGTTTTGCAAAAGATATGTTTTTTTCCTCAAAGCCAAATCAGTTCTAAATAAGATCAATCAATTTTCTCAAGGCGTGTATGAATATTAAAATGTTTTTTTAGAGCTCAATTCAGTTCCTAAAAACTTCTATGTCCATTGGAACAACTTTAGTATGTATATCTACTTTTTCAATCATAAAATTCTTATGCAACCTCAATGCAGATCAAGGGTCTCCAATGAAAATTTAGTGACTGAGTTAAGTTGTGCTACAAAGATAAAATACACATCAGATTTTAAACACTCAGAATTTTTTTAAAAGTCTCAATGTTTTTTGTATTAGTAACATGTCAAAAAGGACAACTTTTTGGATTTGTTTGTTTGATTTACAATGCTGGGAATCAAACCCAGGGCCTCACACATGCTGGGCAAGTGTTCCACCACTGAACTACACCCCCAGCCCAATATTTTGGATTTAGTTAGTTGAATAAAAAGATTACCAATTAATCTGCACCTGTTCTTTGTACTTAACGTGGCTACTGGGAAGTTTAAGTGACAGGTGTGGCTGGCCTTCCATTTCTGATGGACAGAACGAGAGCAGGCCTGCAGGAAGACCTCTGCATGGCTGCACCCCCTCAGCAGCCCACTGGGGAGCAGTCACAAAGGAAGGCTACTCAGGTCTACAAGGGAGTAATGCTCACCCAGGAAAAGAAAGCTCCCACCTCCCAGCAGAAGGGACRCCCCTCAGGCCCTGGGACTATGACCTTGATGAATCTGACACTCCCTGCGGGGAGAGAAGCCAGAAGCAGGCCCTCCCTGGTCCAGCACTGAGCCCCATCCAGGCTCTGGGCAGCCCTGAGGGACTCCTAGTCATGCTGTTCGTGGAGCCCATTAATACTGATCAGAACATCCTGGCTTAACCCGCACGGATGTGGCCTTGGTCAAGAAAGCTGACCTCTCTGCGCTGCTAATCTGTCCTGTACAATGAGGGAGAGTGCAGTCTGACCCTCTGGGGTCCTGTTAAGTCACAAAAAAACAGGGAAGACAGACAAAAGGGAACCAAGACCTCCTGGAATCACCCCGGCCCTGGCAGGACCCCTGAGGGATGAAGGAAGCTGGTAAGGGGGGCAGTCCCCAAACTGCAAACGTCCTGTCACCATGTACAAGGTGCCACCACAGTCATAGCACACACCTCAAGGGTCAGACAGCGGGTATTGTCCACCATTTGTCTCCACGTTGTACGCTGGACACTGGGGTTCACAGCAACAGTGCTCTCCAAGGTCACGATACCACCTTGGACCAGGTCATGACTCCAGCCCTGTACTCACTGCCTCCTGGCAGCTGCTAAATGTGAAATATGCAGAACACTACTTTTTTTGGGGGAGGGGGGTACCAGGRATTGAACCCAGAGGCATTTTACCACTGTGCCACAACCCAGCCCTTTTTACTTTTTATTTAGAGACAGGGTCTTGCTGAGTTGCTTAGGGCCTCGCTAARTTGCTGAAGCTGGCTTTGAGCTGGTGATCCTCCTGCCTCAGCCTCCCAAGCTGCTGGGATTATAGGCGCCATCACACCCAGCCAGAATGCTACTTTTTATAGTATATTCTACTTCCTACTTTTAAAGGACAAATTCTACCTTAATTGTTAGAGAAAACTATCACAGCTCTGTTTGGCTGCATATCTATGTTTACTAGTTCATGGAAAGCCTGGAGATCTACTCCAGCCTTGACTGTAGGGCCCAAAGCCAGTATTCTGCTCTAATGACAGCAATAATAGCCATACCAAGGAGTAATAAGAACTCTCACTTATGTATTGTGAACCATGCGACAGGCATCCTTCAAAGCCTTCATAACAACACTGAAGTCGCTGCTATCCGTATACCCATTTTACAGGGAAGAAAACTAAGGCACAGAGTCAAAGACACACAATGTACCTGGTCACTGAATGACATGTACTCCACGTGTGTCACCTGATTTAACCCTCACCACTGCCTCATGAGCATGGTAAGGAGGCCAAGAGCGATAAGATCTGACCACACCARTCAGAGCTGGGTTAAAACCCATGCTGCCCACCCTGGATCTTAATCATCATATGACACTGTCTCCCTCCACTTTACAAACCTGCTCCCGTGGCGTCCAGTCGTAACCCACTGCTCAGGATCCAGGTGGAAGAGCTCCTCTCACACCTGCCCAGATCTCTTTTCTGCAAGGCCCTAGCTGCTGGGAGAGGGGGCTGCGGAGGGTGATGCACACCTTTCTCCAGGGATGAGTCTCTGCCCAGAAAAACCTAGAAAGCTATGTCCCCCACCTTTCCCCCAAACAGAGGCTGGAGCCCAAAAGCCCAGTGTCCTTGCTTTGAGATGTGCCAACTCTGAGGTGTCGTTTGCTCCACAGTCCCAGGGTGACACAGCTGAAACCGCATCTTTGCTTGCCTCTCAGCTTGCCCTGTCCTGCTCCCTGGCTTCCTAGGGGTGTGACTTGAGGACCTGCCCCCAAGAAATCACTTCTGCAGGAAGCCACGAGTCAGCTGTGCTCCTAGGCAGCCTCACCTGAGGAACCCTAGGCTTCATCAAACCCCACAGCAACAACCCCTCGAAATGCAAGCCTACAAGAAGCTTCAGAACTGGTATTTATGGACTTTTTGAATAGTAAAAGCATTTTCACCCTTTAAATAATCCCACGTTTTTGCATGAGTGTTTGAAGCCAAAGACATTTATGTAAAACATTGAAAATGGAAGAACACTTACTTCACTAAAGAAGCTTTGCGACACAGTTTGTCAGCCCCCCTGTAGTAATTCACCAGCTGCGCCAGCCCGGGCTCGTGACCTGCAAGGAAAGAGCAGGCTCAAAGGGGGGCCTGGACAGGTGGGGAGTGACAGCAAGGCACCAGCATGCCAGATGGGGACCAGGAGGGGCATGCCTGGCTTTTCATTTCAACTCTGGTTGTTAGAAATGGAATAGTTTGGCTTCTCTGTCCCCGAGGGTCTTTCTCTCAGTATCCTTCTGGCCACTCGCCCTCCCCCAGGGGATGCTATATACCAATACTGCAGGTCTACGAAGACCACGGCCACCTTTGTTTTTTCTTGTTAGAGTGGAGCATGCCGGGTATTTTCTCTTCAGCTCTCCCTGGTCTTACTACGCTCCTCTTCCGGCTTAACGTGAAGACTTGCAATCTCTAAATACAAGAAGCTACTTTAAGAGTCATGCTTTGCACCTCCCCAGCCCTGCTTTCTACAAACATCAGGGAAGGCACAGAACTGTGATACTGCTAGTCTCAAGCATGCTGGTCTCTGCCAGCCTCTGGAAGGCACCAGAAGGTAGAGGGAGGTGGTGGGCAGGCCATGTCAGAATGTCAGAAGTAAGAACTTCATTCTGTGCTTCATCCCACAGGGATCTTATTCTCAACAATTCTCATTACCACAACCCTTCTCTATGAAATTAGAACTGAAAGGATAAAAATAAAAACACAGTTTTACTTAATTTTTAGGGGATACTGGGGAATGATATTTGTCAAATTATATTGTTATATTGTGTGCATGTGTGAATATGTAACAACAAATCCCACCATTATGTACAATACGCATCAATTTTTTTAAAAAGTGGGAAAAAAAACTGAAAAAATTTTTTGTTTCGTTTTGTTTAAAATCCTAATAACCCATGCATGGTGGCACATGCCCATAATCCTAGCGACCCTGGAGGCTGCGGCAGGAAGACAAGTTTAAGGCCAACCTGGGTGACTTAGCAAGACCTTGTCTCAAAAATAAAAAGGGCTAGGGTTGTAGCTCAGTGGTAGAGCACTTCTGGGTTCAAATTCCAGTACTGCAAAAAAATAAATTTGTACATGCATATTTAAATTTTACTTATTAACAAAATGCATTGCATTTCCTATAATAGAAAGTAAGATGGAATAAAGGCATTATGAGTTGATGTCAGAGGCAATGATTCATCAGAGAATGGCACACGCCCAAATCAAAAGTGTCAGGCATTACTTGAATTTCAGTGTTTCCCTGWGGCAGAGAGACCCTCATTCTCCCTGCATGGCCTTCTCCACATGCCCAGGGCCCTGAGCCCTTACCTGACCCCTGAAGCTCCTTGGTTTCCATGTAGCACACTTTTAGTAAAAGGTAAATAAATCCAGTAACAGCACAAAACCTATTTTCTTTCCCATAAAAACCAAATATCTGCTGATCACCTGCTGAATCTATGGTGCCTATGTAAGATTTGAGACCTATAGGTTTCTGCTTCTCACCTCCTAGCTGGGCATGAGCTCCACAGCTATGCCAACTGCCCCACCTCCACCTGGGCAGTGCTRTCTTTGACTGCTGTCCATATTAAGACTCCATCTAAGCTTTCACAGCCAGACATCACCAAGCACAAGAAGAAAGGAAGGCAGGAAGGGCAGTGGACAAAGTCAGAGGAAGTAACTTCYCGACTAGAAGTTGTTTCCTTTCCTCTTTCAGGGAAATAATTCCACATGAACATTACCTCTCCCACCCACCCCCCTTTTTTGAGGAAGGGTTCCTGAGGAGATCCTTTAAGGACTCTCCAAGCACACTCTCTGTAATCCTAGATTTCTGGGGGGCTCCTGTCAGCTCTTCCATGGAGTCACCATTCTTCATTATAAACTTGCATGGCAATGGAAAGTTGTCCCCAGCACTCTTTCAAAGAAAAAACTCAGGAAGGCATTGCCTCAACAAGTTTGGTTCTCAAACACTGGCCTCACCCAAATCCTCTAGTAAGTTCACCGATGGCCAGTCAACTCCAGGTGGCCTGTTTCCATTCTCTGTCCACTCAAGCTGTTTCTGAAAACCCTCTCCTCTCCCCAACATGGAAGGAACACCGCTCCCTTTGGTTGGCCCTCGTTTTTCTCGGTATGAATTCTCCCCTTCTATCCTTGGAGTACAACTGACCCCCTTCCCTGGTGAGTTCTGGCCAGGAACACAGCTACCCAGAGAGCCCTCCCCAGATGACTGTGCAGTGAGCAGGTCACGAGCCGATGCTCAGGTCCCCCCCCCCCCCCACGGGGATGTGAGTGCACCTTCCGGAGAACTTCTGGATTACGTCATTTGGAAAGGAGCGGCTGGTCCTCCCCTCACTCCTGTCCCTTCCTAAGGAGAGTAGGTGGACAGGGTGGTGCCAAGCCGGCTTCCACCACGTGAAACAGGCAATTCCCTCCCGGCAGAGATGGAGGGGAACCAAGCCTCTAGTTAAAACCTTTATTCAATGCACAACTGTAAAAACACGTTCTTTGGTGAAGCCTTCGCTAAATTCAGACTATCCTCCAGCTTTCCCTGGGGGAGGGTCTCCTCTGAAGCTCCGGTTTTGAATCCAAATGGCTTTTCCGAATGCCCTCCCTGCCTGTTATCCGAGCCTTGCGCGGGTACAACCCCAGGTTCCAGCACCTTCAGGGCCCGCTTCCACGCCCACACCAGGCGGGGCGGAGTCCTCCGTGGGAGRCGCGCAAGGAGACTTCCCAGCTCTGCGGAGCCTCGCGTGCCCTGCGCTCAGCTCCGCCAACCTGCCCGACCCGGGGCATCGGGCCCGGGAGCCCGGGAGCCGGGGACCAGCGGCCGACAGCCCCCGTGCTGCAGGGGCAGGTCATGGTCAGGAGTAGCGGAACCGCACCGCGAGACCCTCCGAAGGGGACTCAGGAGAGCGGAGGGCGTTCAGAACGAGCCCGGGCGTTGGCGGATCCGCCCGGGAAGCCACGCGGAAGGGAGACTCGCGACCTTAAAAACAAAAGCGCCGGCCCCGGCTGTGGAGCGCGCCCCGGCCGGGGGCGGGGACGGGGACGGGGACGGCTCACCCAGTCTCCCGAAAGGCAGCCGGTTCCTCTCGCCCAGCATCAGGTTGAACCTGGGGTTGTCTCGCCTCAGCCTCTTCCAGTGGCCGGAGGCGAGGAGCAGCCGGGAGACCTCGGCGTAGACGCTGCTGTTCTCGTCGCGCACCACGAAGGTGTACATGGCGAGGCCGCGCGCCCGGGCCCCAGGCCGCCGCCCGAGGACGAGCCGGCGGAGGCGGCGGCTCCGCGTGGACGGTGCCCGCCCCCGGGGCCGCGCTGCTCTCGGGSCGCGCCTCCCGGGCCCAGGCGGCGCCTCCTCCGGCGCCCGCGTCCCCCCAAGTGGCGAGCGCCGCCGGGACGCCGCGCCCTCCGCCGCGCGGCCCCGCCTCCTCCCCGTGATTCCGCGCGGCCGGCTCGGCGCCTGCGGGCCGCGCCCCCAGCCCCGGGCCAGCCGGTGGGGGTGCCCTGGGGGTGCACCGAGCCGAGCGAGCCGAGACCCCAGCCAGACGGTGCCAGCGGAAGACCCCCCTTTGCAGAGTTCCCCCGCTCCGCCACCTCTTTCACAGGGACTTTTATGAGTGAAAAAAAGTTGCTCGGCCCTGTCCTGTGTCCGAGTGAGCAGCGYTCCCCTTCCTCTCCGCTCGACGACTAGAGCACCCAGAGCGTTGCGGTACTGTTTGCTTAGTTGGGGTAGGGCGCTGTTTTCATGTTCTGAGACCTCCCGATTGTCGCACGGCCCAGGGGCCTGGGTGACCCCAGCGTCCACTGGTGGAAACAGTCCTTAACAGGCTTCAGGGAGTCCTGGACCCGTTCCCGACCTGCCCTTCCAGCGTGGGCCATGAGCCTTCCCTATTTCGGACCTCGCCTTGTCTAAGCTACTTTTAGGAAACCGATTTTGGTGCATTTGAGGGTCAGAGAGGACAATGACTATCAGGTTTTCCGCAAACGTGCCCATATTCCCTCGTGAATGACCTACCCCAGCTTTGTGCCTCACAGAAAGAGAAAGAACCTCCCATCCTGTGCTCCCCGCGTTCACGGTATCTACCGAGCATTCTGTAAAAGCACCCTCCTTCCCCCAGCTCGGCCCACATTCGCTCACTTTGCAAAACCATTCTAATCTGTGCACTTTCGCTGTYCCTGGGGAGCTTGCACGGTGCACAAAGGCAGCAACCCAGAGTGCGGGTGCTTAAGTTCCCTCTCATCCCTCCATCCATCAGGAGAAGAGTGGGTTGACAATGCACTGGCGTCCTCACCCCGGCAGGATATGCTGCCAGGAGGCGCATTTCCTGGACTGTATTTCAAGGTATCTACAGAATTCAGCCCCTGCTGTCCACAGCTGTCCAATGCACTTCTCTTGGCTTCCTTCCTTTCCCTAACTCACTACTCCACTTGCTCCTCCACAGATATCTCCTTGCTTTTAAGTCCTTGGTCCAGGATAACTTTTTGGGGGACCTCATGCTAAGATAAGCCATACCTGCTGCTTGTCACCGAAGGCCACATTCTTTCCTCTAATAGTTGGCTTCTCTGCCACTCCACAGCCATGGTCTCCCTAGCAACGCCAGGGACTCTCAATCCAGTGGTTCTCTTTTTTTTTCTCACCTATCTTTTATAGTGAACACTGTTTATACTTGTTTTAGTTTTAATTTGGGGACAGCATTCCTTATCCTCTTTGCTAGATAATAGTATTCATCTTTTCCCCTCCGGACTTTATGAGACTCTGGAGAGATGAACACAGTCCATTATGGGCACAGGAAAGGCAATCTCCCAGTTCAACAGGGCTACTCCATCCCTTTCTGCCATAGTAGTTGGTAAAGCATAAGAACATGATCCAAATCTGGACAATCTGATTCTTTGTGGGATTTGGAGCAAAGAAAAACCAATTTTTTATTTTATTTTATTTTTACAGCTGAAATTGCTCAGATGGAAGACTGTGTGCCACAACATGTAGCTATCTTACTATCCTACAAAGAGGAAGACCCTGTCTGTCTGAGTCCTTGACTTCCAGCAGCCCCTTGAATTAGGCCTGGCTCTCTGGCTATACAAGAGGAGTAATATGCTTTACTTCCTCTTCTGAACCTTAAAATTAGAGCATGCCGCCTTCTTCCGAATGCAGAACCACAATAACAACAAAACAAAAAGATGCAAATGTTATAGTTAAAGCTTCGTCCTGGGGTTTCATAAACTGACTTCCAGACCACTCACATATAATCGAATCAAGCCTTTATTGAGGCACACCGGTGGCGGCTGACCAGAACATAAAGCTGTTCCCCTGATCTGCCCCGAACAATTGCAAGGACTCTCCTTATAAGCCTGAAAACCGCAAAAGGGATGTTTGGGGGTTCAGCCAATGCAAGCAAGCCAGGTTACAGAAGCGGGAGAGTGCAGTCAAGTGGCGGGAAGCCTAACCAATCACAGTTAGCCCAGTCACCCCAGTTACAGAAACAGAGCCCCGTTCCCCTAGTTTACAGAAACAATGCCCCATCAGGTAGTTCCGTGTTCTTAAAGGCTTCTATAGCAAAATGAAAAGAACATCTTGCCCCAGTCATGACCCTTTTCCTTGGCATGGTTGTTTTACAGGATGGAGTCACATTTGCTTTTACTATCACACAAGGATTCTACCAAAATTGGCTCTTTGGTTGATCCTAAAATAAACTTCAACAGCCAGGTACAGTGACACACACCTATAAGTCCAACCACTGGAGAAGCTGGGGCTATAGGATTATAAATTCGAGTCCAACCTCAGCATCTTACCATGCTCCTCAGCAACTTAGTGAGGGCCTATCTCAAAATAATAAGTACAAAGGGCTGGGATGTAGCTCAGTGGTAAAGCACCCTGGGTTCAATCCCCAGTACACACACACACACACACACACACACACACACACAAAACCTTGAAAAATCTCCACAGGTTGAGATAATTCTAAACACTTTCTCTAAAAACAGTGGAATTAAGTGGCTAGGAAATTCAGTAATATACTTCTAAATAACCTATGTTAAGTGAAGAAATCACAATAGTATAAGAAAATATTGTTTAACTGAATGATAATAAAATTATGACATCAAAACAGCTAAAGCCATGGTTAAATGAAAATGTGTAGCCTGAAGCACAAATGTTAGAAAAAGTCAGTCTTTCAAGTGTCACTCTCACGACACTAGAAAAAGGACGACGACATCACACCCAAAATAAGTGGAAAGAAACGAGGAATGAAGAAACAGATATACCAAAAATAAAACAACAAAGCCAAAAGGAAAAAAACAACAACCCTATTTTTAGGGATAGAGCACTTGCCTAACATGCGTGAGCCCTGAGTTCAATTTCCAGCACTACCAGTAAATAGATAAATAAAATTTAAAAATAGACTACTTGGGCTGGGGATGTGGCTCAAGTGGTAGCGCACTCTCCTAGCATGCGTGCTGCCCGGGTTCGATCCTCAGCACCACATACAAACAAAGATATTGTGTCCGCCAAAAACTGAAAAATAAATATTGAAATTCTCATTCTCTCTCTCTCTCTAAAAAAAAAAAAAATAGACTACTTAAATTGCTAACCATTCACAGCCCAACAAGAAGGAAAGAAAGAGAGTGCAAGTAATCAGTACTAAAATATCAAGTGGAACCCACTAGAGATCCTAATGATGTTTAAAATAAGATACTATAAATAATTCTAGCCAATGAATTTAATAACTTGGACAAAACAGACAAATTCTATGGAAAACCCTAGTTTACCAAAAATGATTAAAAAGTAGTATGAAATCAGAATAATTTCATATCTGTTAAAGAGATTGATTCATTTGTAGATGACATATATATAGAAAAAAACAAAAAATATCCTGAAGATTATACAGATACCCCCAAAACATTAACATTAATAAGCAAATTTAGCAAAGTTTAAGAACAATTCAGAGAGGAAGTTAAGAAAATAATTCCATTTTACAATAGCATCAAGTAGCCAGGTCAAAAAGAGATTTTTTTTTTTTTGGCGGACCCAATATTTTTATTTTTATTATTTATTTTTATGTGGTTCTGAGGATCGAACCCAGTGCCTCACACACGTGAGGCAAGCATTCTATCACTGAGCTACAACCCCAGCCCAATAAGACGAGATTTAAAAAAAAAAAAAAAAACTGTCATTTTTCAAAGATGACATGGTTATATATACACTGCAAATCTTAAGTCGCTAGGCATAAGGTCAATATATAAACACTAATTGTATTTCTGTCAACAACAAAGATATAGAAATGAAAAATTTTAAAGATACAATTTATAGTAGCATCAAAAAATGTCAAATACTTAAGATTACTAATGAAAACAGTGCAAGAACTCTACACTGAAAACTACAAAATGTGACAAAAGAATTTAAAGAATAAAATAAAGGAAACATACACTATGATCATGATTAGAAAACTCAAAATTGTTAAAGCTCTCTGTCCATCCTTGCTGAATGGATCTGCAGTGCAACTCAAGCAAAATCTCTGCAGAGCTCTCCACAGAAATTGACAGGACAATTCTAAAGCTCACATAGAAATGCAAAGGAACAAAAATAGGAAAGGCAGGCTGAAGGAAGGCTACCAGACACCAATCCACAAAAGTTATAGAATTTGAATATAAAGGTATTGCTAGATGCAGTAGCTCACGCCTGTAATCCTAGAGACTCCAGAGCTGAGGCAGGAGGATTGAAAGTTCAAAGCCAGCTTCAGCCACTTAGCAAGGCCCTAAGCAGCTTAGCAAGACCTTGTCTTTAAAATAAAAAATAAAAAATAAAAATTAAAGGGCTGGGGATGTGGCTCAGTGGTAAAGTGTCTCTGGTTTCAATCCCTGGTACCAAAAATAAATAAATTTAAACAAATAGATAAATAAATATAAAGATATAGTAATTCAGGAAGCAGAGTTTCAAAGAAATAGATCAGTGTRAAGAGACCCATGTCCCCGTGGTCACTTGGCTAATAACAAAGGTGGTACTTCAGATCAGATGCCCTAAAACCTAATGCATGTAAAGGTAAAAGGTAAAGCAATCAAGCTTTTAGGAGAAASAGGAGGAAAATCTTTATGACGTTACTGTAAAGACATGAAGAGAAGAACGTGTGAAGACAGAGGAGAGACTGGAGTGTGCGCAGCTGAAAGCCAAGAAACCATGAGAAGCAGGAAGACTCACAAAAGGGTCCCCTGCTACAGCCCGAAGACAGAGCAAGGTCCCGCGGCTGCCCTAATATTGAATACCCAACCTCCAGAACCAAAAGAGAAGGTTTTGTTTTGTTTTGTTTTGTTTTAA